TATGTTTACGTATATGTATATATTAGATTTATGTGTATCTTTATGTATACTTGAAGTATAGATAGTCCTGGGCTGAAATCATGGATCCAGCTACTTTTGAAAATGGAAACTGATCAGGTTTTGCTCCGAGTTTTGAAACTCAGATGTATTTCCACACCAATTAATTAGACAGCACTGAAGTTTGCTCGCAACCACGGAAGATTCTTGCAACCACTGTTTGCCAGGTTCTGTCCCTTTTGCTAAACCTGTTTCTATGAATTCAATCCTGACTGCAGCACAGGAATTTCACATTTATTTGAAGAAGAGGTGTGGGACCTCAATGACGTAGAAAGTTAATGTGTCTTTTCTGTTAGTGCTCATAAAAAGAGAGAGGGCAAATTGTTAGTAGAAAATGCTGTCCTTGATTTCGCTTTGATCACTCTGCTGAAGTCAGTATGCACTGACTGAAAACCACTGGCACCGTTTGAAAGGATCTCAGTGGCTCCACTGGAACGATGAATCTGGTCCCAATAAAACAACATAAGTGATTAGAGCTTGGCAAAAGCTTGTGGTGGCAGAAAATTGTTCATTCAGCTTTAATTCTCTATTGAATCACTGCATTGCATACAGTCATATAAAGCATGCATGAGGCCTGCCTGATTCTGCCTAGTGGCAGAAAAGGCCTCCTGTACCCTCTTGCTCCACTGCAATGCGGTCCAGTTTATTGTGTACATATGGAGGAGTTAATGGGCATGACCCTAAGAAAGAGGCTGGGAGCAGTTGCTCTTCAGGTGAGATATCCTAAGAGACTTTCCATTGGTGTTCGTAAGCTACCCATTCCCACACCTCTAAATACAGTCAGCTACTTGGACCTTTTCTTCTATATGTTTGTCTAATTGTATCACAATATATAGAAAGCTGGAATTGTCTGTGGTGAATACGTTAGCCTGTGCCGAGCAAGTTATGTTAGTTAATAGCATGATCTACAATCTCAAGTGTCAGGTGGTATAAAAAGCTTGCTTGACTTGCTGTCTGGATTAATCACTGTAATGCCTCTTCAGAAGCGCAATTTCTTCAAGATTTTGCAATCTGTCAGATATTTTATTTTCAATATGTACAATTTAAACTATGTCTCTGTTAAGATAGATAATAAATAATCGATTGCTTGGTTATGTGTTTGTGTAATTTGAAGCAGTTAAGAAAATATGCCTTCCATCTCTGGTAGCTTTGTAAAGTTTTTTTTGGAATATGTGTTCTAAACATAAAATATTTTCCTAGAAGTTAGATTAAATTACATGGAAAGCAAAAATGTTGACTACGTTACTTTCAGAACTCCACAGCAGATACACCTGAATGGGTCAAAGAATTTGATGAGTTACAGGGTCGTGAAACTCCTAAGTGATGTATGTTGCACGGTTTGATTTCTCCATGATTTGGTCCTTCTCTAGGTCTTAAATTTGCATGTTGTTGATGATGACATTCCGGAGCTAAATGAATATTTCCGTGTGACATTAGTCTCTGCAGTGTCTGGAGATGGAAAACTAGGTTCAACTCCTACCAGTGGAGCAAGTATAGATCCAGAAAAGGAAACTACTGATATCAGCATCAAAGCCAGTGACCACCCATATGGTAACAATGATAGAGATGTTATAGTCTTGTTGCAGATAATTGTATAGTTCTAGCTCAACAGATAAAAACTTTGCTTAGTCATGACAGTTGAGGAAGCAATGCCAAATATTCCAATTTATCTAACTTGAGATTAATTCTTAATTTTTACACAAGAGTGAAAACTGTTTTACTTATTCTTGAGAATATTACAAAACGGCGTCAGAGCTACCCTGACTTAACAGGTGAGAATTCCCTTCTGAAAGCAAATACAGGTTACATGTGGTTGATCCCGTGCAAGTTTTTCTCACATCAGAGTTCCTGATGAAGAGAGACATATCTGCATGCTTAATATACCAATAAGTACCCAATATTGTGATGTATTGAGGCTGTTTTGGGAAGAGCTGAACTGATTGTTGTGCTGTGGCTTTATCAAGGCTGGTATGGATATCGCTGAGAGAGGGGAAGGTACACAGCACATCCCTGGAAATAGCATGACTGGGTCCTAAGTGCAATATCAATAATTGTGTTTTGATTTCAGAAATGTTAAATGTAAATATTGTAAATAATTTGGTTTTGATTTACTGTCATAATTTAACTTTGGTGCGAGAAGCCATGTAAATAGTACTTCTTGTCTGCCAGGTCTACTACAGTTCTCGTTGGGGCCACCTCCTCAGCCAGGTGATGAAATGATTCTGCCAGCCTCTGCTGTGCCCCGTATTACTGTTAAAGAAGAAGTTGGACACATCACATTACTGGTAGTTCGTGCACAAGGCCTTCTTGGAACAGTTCTGGTAGAATACAGAACAGTGCCACTTACAGCTTTCAGTCCTAAAGATTATCAGGTATGGCCATTGCCAAGGCATGTAATTATTTTAGAATTTAATGAGAGTTATTTGTCCTGGAGATACCCTTCAATAGGAATGTTTTAGCCCAGCTATGATTCTTTTCACAGAAACACTTTGTTTTATATGGTGATGTTATAAATGAATGTGTAATACTCACTTTAAAAATATATATCATTATGTCACTTTTACCTTCTTTCTGTGCAACTTTTGTATTTCCTAGCAAAAGCTTCTGGTTTTGATTTCTTCTTTTCTTAAGAGAATTGTCAATGAAGCAAGAGGGGATATTTGCTATTGTTGCTGAGTATATCAAACTTTGTATGAGCATTCAGGTGCATGTACAAGTTAAGACTATGTTTGTACGTGGTAGGATTTGTACATGTTCAACAACATCACCTGTACATATCTGTGTTTTCTTGTCTGATATTTGTGCAGAAAAATGTAGGTGAATTCAGATACTCATAAGTCTGTGAATTTAGATGCCTTTTTCTCATAAAGATTCAGCCGATTCTTTAAAAGCTTAACTGAAGAAAGGTAGATGTTTTGAGAAAGACCAACAAATTCGGAGTTCTGTTTCTTTTTTTATATGGAAGAAAATATTAGACTTGAACAAAAATGTGAAGAGCTTTCGTTTTGCAGGCTGTTGTGGGCACACTGGAATTTCAGCCAGGAGAAAGATACAAGCACGTGACTGTTAACATCACTGATAATTCTGTTCCTGAACTAGAAAAAACTTTTAAAGTGGAGCTGTTGAACCCAGAGAGAGGAGGTAAGGCACATACATCAATCCATTGGTTGTTTTTTCATGATCTCTACTCATCCATTAAAATCTTACCGTTCTTAGATGTACTATTTCCACGTTATTTCTAAAGGCAAACAAACACCCCCACATCCCCCAGACAGCTGTAGTTTTTCTTGGGAAAGAACTATTCTTTGGACATTTTGTTAGTCATTGTTCGAAACCACCAAATCCGAAAGAAAGTGTGTTGTTACCTGTACATTAGGTCATTTAAAGGCGACTGGTGCTTTCCACATTACATTATTTCATGGCTGGTAGTTAAAACAGTGTAAAAAAGATATTAATTTTAATTTTTAAAAAATTTTTCAATATTATTAAATATTTAAGGCTGAACAGCCAAAGTGGGGTTTTTATCTGCTGCTTGGGTGAAATCAGAGGAATTGCGATACACTGGCTCATGACTTATTCAACCTGGTTATAGGAGTGTGAGACTGTGGGTGTTGAGAGGCCCAGGGAGTTTGGCTGAGCTTGGGAGGTAGCTGGTGGTTCTGTGGAAGAACAAGAAAAACACTCAAAGGAAATCCTGGTGTGAGATGTTAGTCTCTCAAGGGATGGCAAGCATCAGTGCTCCCGCCACATGAAACCACTCAGCCCTTACAGAATTTGTTTCCATTAGAGAAAATTTTTCAGGGAGATTGTAAAGCTGGTTGGAGGGCAAAAAGTAACTAGAAACGCTGGTAGCCATTACAGTGACTTTTTAACTGATGTTATTTTCTTAAGCAATCCAGAAATGCGAGTGTGATGCCTTCTGGGAATAGTAGCATAAAATAGTAGTGTCTCATACTACCTTGATTGTGTGTGGTGCATCGTGGCACTGTGGTGCAACACAGCGATTCTTTTGATAAAAACTTCACACTTTCATGCATGTGGACTTTTTGGTGGAATGGTTGTTGTGGTAAACAAACTTTTCTCTTTAAATATTTATTTTTTTGTTCAGAAAACTTTATGCTAACTTTGGTAATTCACTAGCCAGCTACCCACTTAACACAAACCCTCTTTTTGGCCTTTCCAGCACCATTGCAAGCATAAAACTTGGGGTAAAGCCTCCATTAGTTAAGCTTTCTACGGATTTGTCCAACTTTCTGACACGTTTTTGCTTTGTGAGAAAACATTAGAACAAGAGAATGGCGGGAGGGGGGAGGTTAGCCCCTGGTATTTTTTTGAATTCACATTTCCAGTTCCTTCATGCCAGACGTCATTTAGGAGTGAGAAGGGGGAGATACAAGGTGGGGACAGAAAGAGGGAAAGAAAGAAAAGAGAAAACAGAGGTGTATGTGTTTTCTTTCCTTCCAACTTCCCATTGCTATTTCCAATGTCATAAATTAAATGAGGTGGCATATACAATACCTTTTCTGGTGTTTATTAGAAATCCTGTATACTTACGTATCCAATATTGATGCTTTCCTAGAATACTTTCTTCTCTTTTTGTGTTGTCCAGAAATGTTAAATTACTTTCTGCTTTCTCTTTATTTATAAATGTATATATGTGTATATACCTGTATATCTGTCATCTTAAAGTTGCTGAGCTCTTTAGAAATGATGGCAGTGGTAGTGGTGATGGGAACATGGATTTCTTCCTTCCAGCTGTCCATCAACATGGTAAGCGTTTTCGATTAATCCTATTTTTTATTGCTCACTGTAATATCCCTAAAAGATTACTATGCTGGCACAACTTGTCATAATGTTACTTTACTTGCAGCTATAGGTTAATTAAGATTTATCATAAAGTTCTCTCAAAACATTACTTTCCATTTTAATTTAGGAACAATTTCAATACCAGTCAGTGTTTAGTGTAACACAGAAAATCATAGATTCTATACCATTAAAACTGTATTGTTGTAAAACATGATATAGTAATTCCAGAAGTAAAGTTTGCAAAATTAGGTTTTTTTTTTTTTAAATTGTCATATTTTCCGGAGAGCAAGAAGCAAAGACACTTTTTAAATTGAAGGCAATTTAAAACTTGCCCTATTGTATGTTTGATACATGCTTTATGTTATTTTGATTCTATGCATGTCAAAAATACTCTAAAAGAAAAATAAGCTGAGTTAGATTTTTTAAATGAATGTTTTGATTGTTTTTCATTTCTTGTCTTTAAGTTTGTATTTATGTCATGACATACAGAAAACAAAGATAATTTAATACTGAGAAAATTAAAAAAATACTAGATGCAGAAATAACATAAAGTCTGAGAGACTAATCATACAGGACTTCAAATTAAACACTACAGGCCTGACAGTGTTGTATGAGCAAACATTATCTAAATTGAGTAATCTGTCTTCCTGTGACAGCCTGATTTTCAATTTTATTTGTAAATGCAAAGGATTTCAGTCTTAATCTGAGAGTAAGTCTGTGGTTTAGCCATTTTCTGGAGCATCCTGGTTTTTTTGAAGGGCTGTTTCCCTTTTCCTTGTTTCCAGAAATGTTTTTCTTAAGTGCCAGGGTCTTTCTCTCTCTGCACAGCAGATTATCTCACCCAAGACAATCTTTTTAGTAGTAGGGTTCACTGGACTTGTTTTTTTCTTTGTTTTTCATTCCAGCTTATGTTAGGATGAGAGCTGCCTTCATCTGGTCTATCTGCTTACGCTGTGGTTTACTGTATAATTCCCCGCCATCCTAAATTCTGCTCCATTTTCATTCATTAGGCCTGTAATTTTATTTCTGTTCCTCCCTTGAAATACTCATATTTATTATGTTTTGTTGTTGCATGGTTCCACAGAAAGGCTGCCAGGACTGCATTACTGAAAGTCAGTTCCTTATCCATGTGAATAATTATCACATTTTTGAAAAAAACAAAGACGAAACAGCATGGATACTTTGGTCATGCTCTCCTCTGTGCCACATATTTTGTGACACATTTCTTTAGCTGTTTTCTCTCATGTAAGAAAAGATGCTAGAAAAAATTAACCCTTTTTCGAACTCACACTGAACAGCTAGCTTGGGAATTGCATCCCACATCCTTGTGACTGTTGAGGCTTCCGACGACGCTCATGGTGTGTTTGAGTTCAGCGCTGAGTCGCTCTCGGTAAATGGAACGGAGCCTGAGGACGGAGACAGCGATATTGTGCTGCAGGTTACAAATCTTTGTGTCTCGCATTGCGGTGCGGTCCTCTCCTGTCTCTGTTTTTACTGGGCTTTCTGCAATATTTTTGTCATAAGTCTATAGGGTTTATAACAACTTTATCATGTGCATCTGTTTTGCCATTTTATACTGAGATTTCTGATGTGTATCATTCAGTTTGAAGTAATATTGATGTAATAATAATAATATCCAGAGTTTAAAATTACTTCTACTTGTTTACATTTGAGGTGCTACTGTCTTAAAATAATAGCAAAGATGATACAACAAATACAGCAAAGCTGAGATAATAAAGATTACATTGTTTGCTTAAGCCACTAATTTATTTTTAACACATCATGTCACTGTCTTTGCTTAATTCCATCTCATGCTTTTATGTTGTTTTTTTTTTCTCATAGAACGAAAATATAAAGACTTTTATATTTTTCACTTAGGTCATGAGAACGCATGGGGCCTTGTCTCAGGTGACGCTGCGTTGGATCGTAGTGTGTGATCATACCAAAGACCTGATCTCTGCAGATGGGAATGTAACATTTGATGTTGGCCAAACGAGAGCAAATATTACGGTACAGGTTTCTCCTGATGAAGTTCCTGAATTGGATAAGGTGTTCTCAGTTTTGATCATCAATGTCTCCAGTGGTCGTCTTGGAAATCATACTAATGCAACACTAACTATTTTAGCTAATGATGATCCATATGGAGTCTTCATCTTTTCTGAGCGAAACAGACCAATAAAAGTTGAGGAAGAAACAAAAAATGTTTCCCTGACAGTAATAAGGCGCGGTGGTCTGCTCGGTACAGTAATGGTAACATACAGAACTATTGGCAACGATGAAAAGTCACCCTTTCTTCCAACTGATGTTGTTAGAGCAACAGAGGGAAAAGATTATCTACCCATCACAGGTTACCTGATCTTCACAGCCAGTGAAAGCGAGGCCACAATATCCTTGCCGGTTTTGGATGATGACGATCCTGAGAGGTCAGAATCTGTTTTTGTGGAGCTAAGCAGTATTGTTTTGATTGAGAAAGTACAGGATCGGCCAAGTAAGTATCTTATGTATGTAAAACCTACAATTTAAATATAAAGGCTAGTATTTATATTTAATAGGATAAAACACAACAGGTTGAATGATGAACTTTTTACCTCTGCCAAACTCTGTACAGTTAAGAAATCTTTGGATTACCTGGCTCATGTGCTGTTGGCATATGTTTTGTTTAGCACAGTATTTTGTCAGAGATGGATGAGAATTTCTTTATCCCACTTGCATCGCCTTATCCAAGATCTTTCAGGCCAAACATATGACAATATTGGTTTTGTACACTACTACCTGTTCATCTAGTGTTGTTTCTGTAAAGTTCAGGTTTAGGAAATAACTAAGCTGGTTTTGCTTATCAAAAGCTAGAAAAGTCTTTTAAAAATAAAGTTGTGTAGAATTACAGCCGCATGTTGATTTTTTAGTGTAGAGAATGTTTGCTTCATCCCTCATTCAGATAAGTTCAGGTCATTACGGCCTGATTTGTGCTTCAAAGCTTGCCTAATTGCTGCCTGCTCCACAGATTAATTTTGATGTTGAGGGAAACTTCAAATACAATTCTGCTGGGAGGCTGAAATATTATGCGTATTTCATCATAGTAAGTGTAAAAATGAAATTCTTCTGAACTGTATTGATCTTACTACTGGCCTTATGGACAAGTAAATAAATAAATAAATAAATTCACAATACATTACCGCTTTAAAAAAAAAATTATGGCTTTTTTTCTCCATAGCAGGGTAGAATAATAAATTATTAAAAACTGGATTTTTTTTTTACCATAATATAATTCAAACACCAAAAGTATGTTGGTGCAGTGTAGTTAGACTTGGCCCAATTTAAAAAAAGATAATTTTGTTGAAAGCTAGTAGCAACTAATGATTAAACTCACATGTATGTCTATGAACTCTAGAGCCATAGATAGCAAGCATCTCAGGCACCCCCTCACTAAGTTTTCTTTACGTTTCAGTTGCAAATTCTCCTCGACTTGGATTAGTGAGTGAGACAATAGCTCATGTAATTATCAATGCCAATGATGATGCTTTTGGAACACTTCAGCTTTCAGCTTCAACTGTGCGAGTTGCTGAAAATTATGTTGGACCAATCATTAATGTGACCAGAACTGGGGGAATATTTGCAGATGTTTCTGTGAAATTTAAAGCAGTGCCAATAACTGCAACAGCTGGTAAGAAATCAGAATAGCAGAAGTTTTTAGTCTGTGTTACAGTGGAAAGAGCATGCTGTATGCTTTGAGCAGTCAAGTCAAACAAGCGTGTACTGAAGGCACTATTGTGCAACAACTCCAAGAAAAGAGTAACGAGGTATTTACTGACTCTGCTTAGCAAACAGGAGTGCTAGCCCTATGGGAGTGACCATGCATCAGATTTTAGGAAGCTCTGAGACCTCATCACTGAAGAATCTACGAGAGAAATGAGTGGAGGAATTGAGGTGTTTGTTTCACTAGTAGCCCACAACCTCTTCAAGAAAAGAACATAAATAAAACTGAAAAATATTAGAGTAGTATGTGTAGCTACTATTTAGTCATATGTACATGCTTAAACCCACCATACATTGTTAGGGTGAGCTTATTGGAGGGGAAGTGGGAGGTGGGGATTCAGCTGTAAAACAAACAGGCAAGAAACAACCAAAGCCCGAGAAGAGCTGGACTTCTAAAAATGGAAGCTGAAGTTCTGCAGTTTGTCCCTGCTATAGAACAGGTACATAAAGAAAGGAGCAAACTTGCAAAGTCTGCATGGTCAAAACCATTTAGTTATAAATGAAGACCACTGTATTTCAGCTGTGTCCAAAACTGAATAGGCGGGTGGTACATGCTCTGAGAACTGGTGTTTTGGTTTCCTTTTTATGTAACAGACTTTTCTAAATAGGTGCATGGCTTGATTGATGTCAGAGTATGCTTTCAATTAGTTTCTGAAGCTGTGCCATTGTCTACTGTGTCGGAGTTGTTCATCTGGACATCTGTAGGGACAAGTTTGCATAAAGTGAGGTCCACACACAAAATGTGCCCTTAACTAAAATCTTCTTAGACAAAGGTGCTTCTGTTGGTTTTTATTTCTTGGAAAGCCAGAGGGTGATTAGAAATCAAAGACACAAACATCTTGGTAGTGTGACCTTGTCAATGGAAGACAATAATGGACCTTTTGTAACTACCACTTGGCCGAACAGTGCAAACTCTGTTTTGGCCAAGCCAAGTTTTATTTTAATCCATCCGGATATCTAAAGGGCAATGGGACATAAAAAAGGACTGTGTTTGATAATTAAAAAAGACTGTCTGAAGAGAAGGAAAAACAACCATAAAAGCAGGGAGCAATACATGTGTAAGCAAAAAGAGAAGTATTAGTGATGATTCATAATGTATTAATATTATTCTGTGGTTTTTATTGTTTTATTTGTTTTTTTAATCTGCAAATCTAGGCGAGGACTACAGTGTAGCCTCATCAGATGTTGTCTTACTAGAAGGAGAAACAAGTAAAGCTGTGCCAATTTATATAATTAATGATATCAATCCTGAAGTTGAGGAGTCATTTTATGTTCAGCTGCTGAATCAAACAACAGGAGGAGCCTTGCTTGGATCTTTGACTAGGGCCATCATAACTATTGAGGCTTCTGATGACCCATTTGGATCCTTTGGTAAATGAGTCTTATTTGCATATTTTTGCTCTTCTGTTAACATTTTTACTGCAGATTTGTGGGTGAGCTATTACTGGGCAGCTGAATAAAAACTTTCAGAACACAAAGAGGAAGCCTGGAAGAAAACATTACAGGAAAAGATAAGATAAACTGAATTAAAACATGTAATTAAGGACTAATGGTACTTAAATGTAACAAAAGTTGGTATAGCAAGATTTTGGGGTCTCCGAATAGAGCTAGATGGATTTTAGTTTACTTTTTTTATTTTGTTATCTAAGGGCTGCATTTCTGTAATGGCTTTTAGCCAAAACCTGCATTCTAGTATCTGTTGCTTAAATTGTTATCTTAGTTTTACTAGATAATCAGCCACAGCTGATTTAAAAATCTGGGGACACTAAAAAATAGAAAGAGAAATTAAATTACATTCTCTTATTTTCTGTCAATTACTTCAGTTTTTCTTCTGCCTGTTATTATCAATAAAATGGATTGTGTGTACTTTCCAAAATTAGTTTCACTACACAGGTTTTGAGAAGAGTTTTGGTAATTTCAAAAACTTAATGGTATTTTAGAAATCTGTCTTTTTTTGTTTGTTGTTTGCTTTTTGGTGCAATTTTTCCTGCTTTTTTGTCTTGACCTACACTTTTCTCCCTTTAGTACCCTACTTAATTTCTCTTGTTCAGTTTTGTTAGTAGACGAAGGCAGAGGAAAGAAAGAAAAATTGTTAAAAAGAAGTAATTCCAGATAAGTAATTAAATAATTTCATTCTTAAAAGCTAAAAGCTTAATACAAGGAAGACTTTTACTCGAAACAATTTTAGATGGATTATGTTGACGTATTTCTTTAGTAAGTGACATGAAAGCTGCTAAAGAGTTTCCTTGCTAGAAATAATTATGAAATTGTCTTCTAAGAGCTTAGAAACAACTCATGGTTAGCCTTGAACAATGGTTATGTTGGAATAAACTTTTTTTCATGAGGGCTTAATTTTTCATACTAATTTGCTCTGTAAATGAAAATGTTAATACTGAAAGTTTGCGTTTAAGTTCACTCCTGATTACAAGTGATTTACCTGTGCAAGTCAATGCAATCAAGTGAAATAAAACTATGTACTTCAGGAGTTGATACATTTACTTTCAATTTCATTGTTAATGAAATACATCTCTCTGTGCTGTGCCTCAGTTTTTCAGATTACCGAATTCACTGTGGAGGAGCCTGAATTTGGATCAGTAATCATAAATCTGCCAATAATCCGCAATGCTGGGACGCTCGGTAATGTTGCAGTTCAGTGGGTTGCTACCATTAATGGACATCCTGCTGATGCTGACTTGCAGGTCACCTTCGGTAATATTACTTTTGCCCCTGGGGAAGCCATTCAGATGTTGCTGTTGGAAATCCTGGCTGATGATATTCCAGAAATAGAAGAAGTAAGTAAAGCAGTAATGTCGTTCTTGAATACTCTTAGAGTTCTAAATTGTTATAGATATGTGTGCAATGAAAAGCAGGGAATGTTCTGGCGGGAAGGTGCAAGAAGTTCAGATTTTACTTTTCTTGTGATTATTGTTAAAAATACCAAAAATCATTTAGCTGCATTATTTCTTTTTCTTTTTTTTTCTTTTTGAGATTGTCCGTGTAGAATTAACTCAGGCCTCCAGTGGTGGTGCTATTGGGTTAGATGCCGTGGCAAATATTGTAATACCTGCCAATGATAATCCTTAGGCCACAGTTTTCTTTCATCAACCCTTATATCGAATTCAGGAGCCACTAGAAAGAAATTTGCTTGCAAATATAACAGTCAGGCGAAGGTTTGTATGATGTTTGCATTATTTATATGTACTATTTTTTTTTTTTTTTTTCTTGGTTAATTTCAAATGTCATGCTCCTCTTGTATAAGTATTTGCATCAATTTCTTGATCTGCCAGCTCAATGCATTTTTATTTCTTGTACATTGTTTTTGAACTAGATGTCTGCTTATTAGAACTGCACATAAAGTACGTAAACGTAAGACACATTGTAATGTACAATGTGAACTTAATGTACCCAGTGTACTTAAAGTTTCATTTTGCCTATTTATCGTCAAATCATTTAAAGCTGCACAACGGCCTGATCCTGTGGTTTGAACTGGAGGACAAAATGGGTCAACTCTAGTGGGATGGAAAGCAATAGGAAAAGGAATGCAGATTTTATGCACCTGATATGATATCCTGAGGACACGTAGGAGGAAAGATGACAAGGTTGGGCAGCACAGTCTTTTACTTCCTTGCCAGCCCTAGGAAGACTAAGTTAATTCCTAGAAACAAATGTTTGCAAACGTACATACTTAACAGACTGCTGCCCAAGGTATAAATAATCAAACTTACTATCCACAAAAAAATACAACAAGGTTGTTCTGGTACTAGCTTCAAGTGAATCCACTTTAATTTGCTATTTGGAACTTTTCAGCAATTCAGTAACAGCCAGTTGATCTTTTTCACTTTTATTCTTAACCCAGAAACATACAGAATATTAGATGTACTTCATGAACTAACATTACTTTTTTATTTTAATGTCTTTTAGTGGGGGAAAGTTTGGTCAGCTGCAGATATTTTACAGCACGTCCGAGACTGACGTCGTAGCTCTTGCCATTGAGCAAGGTCAGGATATCCTGGCCTGTTACGAGCCTCCTGTACAAGGAATTCCTGACCAGCCATCCAAGACCAGAGTGAATGTGTCCACAGCAAGTGATCCACTCTATGCCTGTGCAACTCAGTGCCTAAAAGAACAAGCTTGTTCAGCCTTTGCATTTTCCAGTGCCTCTGAGATTCCTCTCTGCCTTTGGCTGACGTGGGATATCAGCCCATTAACTAACACTTCAGGATTCTGGACCTACAAGAAAAACATTACCAGTGCGTCCGCTCTCTTTAGCACACAAGCCATCGCTGGTATTGATTATGAATCTATTACAGGACACTGGGCCATAATGTGGGAAGGGGAAGAGTTTGCAAATCTCACAGTTACCATACTCCCTGACAGTCTGCCAGAGCTGGATGAGAAATTCGCTATATCCCTTTTGAAAGTTGAACTTATAAACATCTCAGCCAGCTTAAAAAACCAACCAACTATAGGACAGCCAAACACTTCCACAGTTATCATAATGATGAATGGGGATGCATTTGGAGTATTTAAGATCTACAGTGTAAGTCCCAACACAACAGAGAAAGGTCTGTATGTTGAAGTAGAAGAACGTCCTCAGACCAACGTGCAGCTAATGATACACAGGACAGAAGGCAGCCTGGGACAAGTGACAGTGGAATGGCGTGTGGTTGGTGGAACTGCTACCCCAAACTTGGATTTTGTAGGCGTTGGTGAGATTCTGGTGTTCGCTGAAGGTGAGGCGAGGTTTTGCACTAGCATCCGTTTTAGAAAACTAAAGAAAAGCAAAAAGAATCTGATAAGCACTCAGTCCTCTGGATGTTTTGAGAAGTGATGTCTTATTCTTAGGCTAAACCTCCCTGAATGCTCAGGACACGTATTCAAAAGAATACAGTTCATTAGCGTAGAGCATTATGTTGCAGAACACACGCAGTGGTAGTAAAAAAAAAAAACCCAGTATTTTTTTAATATCGCAGTGTGCACTACAAAGATGACCTTTTTACCAATTAAATAAGGAATAATAATGCTGAAGATTATTGTTATATCAAGGGTAATGAAAATGAGAGTCAGGCCTAACAGGTCTTTTGTTACCTTCAATCAGTACAGTACTGATTTTTCATTATGCCACTTTTTAGATTCTGAGATTGTATTAATTTCATAAAATAATGTCAGCATATTAAAAAAAATTAAAAACAAGATGAATAAATCAATGGCAGACATTACTTATGTGCCATGCAGCATGACAGATACATTTTATCTTTTCAGATTCTGAGTTGATGAACAGTTATTTCGAAAGCAATTTATGAGAGTGCAGCAAACATTCTAGTGTGCTAGCTAGCTTGCTAAATCATCTGAACTTGAAAGAACGGTTATCAGCAGTGATTCTGAGGTTGACATGTAATTACATTCATGGTTATAAGCTTAGTAAAAACGGTGTTCAAAATATTTTGAAGGATAATGTAGCAAGAAATATGTGTACCTTGTAAATGGATATTCTCATAATCATAGAACACAGGTTATGCACACGCACTGTGCAACAGCATTCTGTTGTAAATTGTAACAGATTATAGAGACTGGTAATTGATCGTGTTTGCTGTTTACATTATCATTCTTTGGTAGTCCAGAAGAGAAGTAACTAACACAATGACAGCCCATTTTAATGCATTACCTGGCCCAGTAAATATATTCAAATTGAGTGCATATACTTGTGTATATGGTTCATCAGAGAATTTATGCACTTGGTAATTTTTTTACAAGAATTATGTTCCCCTTTTGTAAGTTAAATTTGGAAGTCATAGAGAACTTACAATACAGAGTTCTAGACATTCAGAAATTGTGCTTTCAATGTTAATTTCTACGTAGTATATTTCATAATAGGATAATTACATTGCCCTAATTTAACTTTTCCACAGTAATTGAATAAAACTTCATAATGACATCACTAACTTCAATACAGGTAAATAAATAAATATGCTTCACGTCCTTTTCTATAGTTGTTGGGTATTTCACAGAATCACAGAATGTTCAGGGTTGGAAGGGACCTCTGCGGGTCATCTAGTCCAACCCCCTATGAAAGGAGATGATTAAACCTTTTTAAAAGGTGATTTCCACTTGTGCTCATAAGTATGTATGTGTTCTTCTCCTTGTAGGGGAAACAAAACAGGTGGTCACGCTGACCGTTTTAGATGATCCAGAGCCAGAGGATAATGAAAGTATCATAATCAGCCTGGTCCATACTGAAGGAGGAAGTCGGATTCTGCCCAGTTCTGACACTGTCACAGTGATTATTCTGGCAAACGACAATGTGGCAGGAATTATTAGCTTCCAGACAGCCTCCAGATCTGTTATTGGTCGTGAAGGTGGGTTCTTTGTGTTGACCACACTCCGCTTGTTTAATGTTAGCCTACATCTGGATGCTTTCTGTTGATAGTGAATTACAGTGATTGTACTGCTCAGAGAATGCCAGCGAGCAGAGAATAACCGCACACTTGGCATGTATTTCCTTTATTTTTAACTCTTGAAAGCATAGCACTTAAATGAAATCTGTGGAAAGGATGAGTACCCTATTCTAAGCCCATTTTATATATCATCACCTGTGCTTTCCTTTTTTCTGAAGATCGTGCCTTGCTTCTATTGGTATTGAACTTCACAGCTCCTTTTAGCATTTCTTGTCTTATTCATTTATACTGTATTCCAGAACTGTGTATAACTCCCATCATGCACACCTATTAGTAGCCATAAGCAAATCTCATCTATCAGTGACCTGCAATTCACTTTAAATCTTCTAGAAAATATTCCCACAGAAAGATTAGGATTGCATCTTCCCAACTCAGTAAACTGCTGTTTTAAAATTTTCTGTGTATGCTTTTTTATGGTAGCTGATTTAGGAATGTAGTAGTCTTGCTGTCATCACTCAGTCATGAAAGTTGAGAAAGAATGATAGTAATTTGATATGGACCAAAGGTTTCTACTACTGTTTTAAAAGAGCAGGTTGTGTATTTGTTCTAAGATTTGATGTAGCTTTGCATGGGATAACAATAGTACTAATGGTGATTGCTTTCAGCAGCCTTTGCTGGAATCTCGATGTATTGCAGTATCATATTTCACTGACATGTAAACTGATGGGCAGGGAAAGTTATCAAAACAGATATTTACTATCCAGAAACGTGTGTGTTGCATTTTCTGTTTGAAGAAAAAAGTCTTTCTCAACCAAACTCCCCCCCGTCCCTGAAATGAAAGGATATTATAACCTTTTGTTTTTTATGTAGATATAGTTTATGTTAATTCTGTGTTAGTGTGTGCCTGGTTGTCATCCTTTGTTCCTCCACATTAACAATTCTGATCTGCCTGCCAAGCCGGCAGCTATCTGGCAGGCTAAGAAGAGCTGTTAATGAGCATGAGGAATTAATAAAAACTGTCTCATTTCAAAGGTTACGATTACCCTGAGTACTTCCCACTGGCTAAATATTATTCATAGCATGCTGGTAAATGCTGGCTATTTAGAGCTGAAATGCCCTACTATAGTTTGGAAATGATTTGATTGCTGTTCCTCCAGATTGTGAAAAGTAGTGCCTTGTGTCAAGCAAGAAAAAACAACCAGACTAATTCTCTTTGAGAAAAATACAAAGAATGAGTTAAGGCCTTTAGATGATTTCAGTGTTTGTATATCATTTCCGTTATCAAGGTGTTTTTAATCCAAAAACAAAATTTATCAGACATAAATCCAAATGTGATTATCTTTTATATTTATTGTATTATTGAGCAATTTCTGCCAAGAAAATTTTATGATTTTCAAGCTGTGCTTATTATTTATAACCTTATTGAGGGATAGAGTAGCATTTTAGTACAGGCAGAGGCATGCACAGTTGTGTGGCTGTGACTGTGTTAGAGGAAAATGCACTGCAGTAGCCTGAAATAAGGAAGAAGAGGAGGATGGCTGAGGCCTATTTCTCCCTGATAAGTCACAGAATCACAGAATCACAGGATGGTCGGGGTTGGCAGGGCCCTCTGGGGTCACCCAGCCCAGCCCCCTGCCCAAGCAGGGTCACCCAGAGTGTGCCCGTTGCCCCTTGTCCTGTCGCTGGGCACCACTGGAAAGAGTCTGGCCCCGTCCTCCTGACACCCACCCTGCAGATATTTAGAGGCATTTATAAGGTCCCCTCGCAGCCTTCTCTTCTCCAGGCTGAACAAGCCCAGCTCCCTCAGCCTCTCCTCGTAGGGGAGATGTTCCAGTCCCCTCACCATCCTCGTAGCCCTGCGCTGGGCTCTCTCCAGTAGCTCCTCATCTTTCTTGAACTGGGGAGCCCAGCACTGGACACAGCACTGCAGATGGGGCCTCCCCAGGGCAGAGCAGAGGGGCAGGAGAACCTCCCTCGTCCTGCTGCCCACACTCCTCCTCATGCACCCCAGGATTCCATTGGCCTTCTTGGCAGCCAGGGCACACTGCAGAAATTTAAAGATACGGATAACATGGTTAAATATTAAAAAACTTTAAAAGGTGAAATTAGCCTAATAAGGCTTTCAGTCTTCATAAATCAGTTAGTACTTGTGTTAGTATTTCTTTCTGGATAGGGATACTGAAGATTTTGATAAAGCTGACCAAGAAACATGGGTCAGTAATTAACTACTTGGAGTCTGTAATTGTAATCAATTCACTGTAATTACTGTATGATGAAGTTACTTCAGATTTCTTCTTAGTGTTCGGATTACCAAGTAACAGGCTCCTGCTTCTTAAAGCATTTTGTCCCAGTCTTCAGTGAAAATTCATTGTCTCACATAATGTTATTTTGAAATAACCTTTTCTAAATTATACATTCTGCAAAGGTACTAACGTAACCAGCTTTCTGTTAAATATTTATTTGTTTGCAATGGCTGTGCAAAATTCTGAAATCGAATAGAATGGATTTCAGTGCAGCGTTACACAATATGATACGTTAGCCTCAGGGGAACCTGTAAACTGGCAGTCTGTCCTCAGGTATCTGACTGTAGAAGCAGAATTCTTGTGATGTCAATAAATTTTTACTTCTTTTATTCTCTTAAAAGCAACATGGAACAACTTAAGACAAAGATATGAATTGGTACATCACCAAGGCCTAACAGAAGTTTGAAATATTGAGGCTCAATAACACATACTAATTCTATTTGTTTGAAAATAGGTGTATGGAATCCTTGTATTACTTCTTCACAGTTTTGTATTTTAATAAATTATATTAACATCTCTAGATGTTAGTTGTTCGTATCTCTCTCATTGGTAGCCAATGTACATGCATTTCTGTAATAATTCCTTACTGAAAAAAAAAGTCTGGAAAATGTTCAAATTGTTCCTGCCAGTTTTAGCTACACAATACTGTCCTGCAATATAATATCCTAGAATAGCCAGATAGCATCATAACTTGATGCTCTTTAAATTACATAGTGAGAGAGACAAGCTGGGCTGCCCAATTCTTTATGCCATGGAGTAAGAAGGCACGTAACACCACATCTTCTCTGTCACTTTCATAGATGTATCTCAACGTTTCTCAATAGGGTTGCTTCCACGTGTGTACATAACACAAATCAGAAGATGGAGTTACTCCCAGATTTTGCAACAGTGAAAAAAATTCAAGTCAGTTTATACCAATACTAAGAAAGACGGAAATAAGTTTGTCAGATTTCTGTTTCTGCATCAGTAAAACACATTTTGACATTTTTTGTTTTCTTTTCCTCATTATTTAGTAAGCAAAAGAAATCTCACGTGTTATTATTTCTAAGTATCTCAGTGTTATAGGTTTCTGCATGTTTCATGTCTTGGAAGGCTGTGCAACACTATACATACTGGGAAACTTAAATTGTTTGCACTTGAAAGTTGCTGTTGACTTATGGATGCAATACACTTACATATTAAAAATAAACTCCTGTCCTCTAATGTGAAAGTATTGCATAATATTACTAATTTTACCTACTGATCTATTTCATATTGATATAGCATTTTAATTTCACAAGTCCATATTTAAAATATTTAACGCTATATAAACTACATAAATATATACTGTGAAGCTCACTATTATAAATATTAATTCTCTCAGGAAAATTATTTTAACTGTAATGCATGTTTTGGGCTTCTCATTTTTATGAGTGATATCATAAGGGAGAGGAAACCCCAAAATATTGCATCTGATCCTTTTTTCCTAGGAGAACGATTGCCATTCCATATTTTAAGAACTGCCCCAGGGTTGGGAAACGTTACTGTTGAATGGAAGATAGTTGGGCATAACGTAAAACAAAATTTTGAAAACTATTCTGGAATACTCTTTTTTCCTGAGGTAAGTCCATAAGCAAAGTTAATGGCTACAGGAGAATACTCTAATTAGAACTGAACTGAGAAAATGAGTGTGCTTTTATAGCAGTCTTTGTTTCTTGATCTGATTATTTACTGATTCTTTACTCTTGGAGTTCCTAACTGGAGGGAGTTTATAGTTTTTGAAACTCTACATTTCTTAAAGGTGTTTTTCAAAATACAGGTGATACAGTGGTATCACTTGTATTTTATAGAATAATGACTAATCATTTTATCAATAAAATAAACAGGAGACATTGAATACAACATTGTGTGTTCACTTGCTGGATGACCATATTCCTGAAGAAAAAGAAGAATACCAGATCATCCTATACAACATCAAAACAGAAGGTAATGTAGAACTATAGCCTGCTATATCTTAAAACTACCATTTAGTAGTGTAATATTTTCATACATATTAATCCATTTTGGAAGTGTAGGACTAAGCATGCTGCAACTAGTGTAAATTATGCAAAGTTCATTCGTGTTTTATTGAAACAGGCTTGATCCTTCTGTATGTGTGTATATATATACATAAACCCCATAGTGTGTTTGCAGTTTTCCTTAACTGGTTTTCAACCCAATTTACCTCTTGCCTGTTTAATTTAATAGTTCTTAATTTCCCTTTAACAGAATATGAACTTGAGCTTACTAATGTGTTCTGGATACAGTTGCCATGAAATAAGTGGAGATTTTTATCTTTTAAAGAAATCTTGTCATGCCACAAGCTGACTTTCTGATCTGTCTCTGAATTCAGGGCCAGAATATTTTATTCTTGCCATTCAGATTATAAAGAGAAAAGAAGCATGAAACTGCATCCCTTCTGAAATACCCTTTATTAAACTGAAGTTAATGCCTAAACACCTAACTAGTTTGACATGGATTGTGCAGCTGCTAGGTGCCTTACCAACTTGCCAGAATCATTTGTGGACTCTTGTAATCCATCAGGATAAGTGTAAATTAATACATCAACAATTACTCATCAAGGCAGCACTTCAAAAAAAGAGTAATTTGTTAATGGAATGTTTGAGAAGTTGAATATAATTTTAACTTCTGGAGTTAATTCCTGGGAAAACTTTCTCTTTGCATTTACAATAGAGGAGGTTTAGGGAAGTTGATATTTGGCACTGGCCCGTGAAGTTTTCTGATTTCTCAATATGTTTTTGTGACTCTATACTTAGTACGCATACAATTTCTGTTGTGATTGTATGTTCCTGTATTTGTTATAGAATGTAAATATATATTTATATGCCACACCATCCATAAACTTCAGTGAGCACATCAGGCATTTAGTTTAATTTCATTTATGCTGTTACTGACTGTCATTTGTAAATAATAATAGCAATAATGTAAGACCAAAAAAAATGTTATGCAACTTTTATTCACTTTATTCACTGTAATCCATTGATTTTTTTGCAGGAGTTTCTTCTTCAGGTGCTGCTGTTTTGGATAGTCAAGGATATGAAGCTGTTTTGACAGTAGAAGCTAGTGATGAACCACATGGAGTCTTGAATTTTGCTTCCCCATCCAGGGTAGTTTTAATTCCAGAGGAAAACAAAACAGTTCAGCTTTTTATTAACAGAGAATTCGGATCTCTAGGTTTGTATAATTACTCCAAGAGAAAGGAAATTCTGTTTCAGTAATCATTAGATCATGTGAAAGCCATGAGAGGGAGGCCGGAAATTTTGAAAAATCTTAAATACAGTTGATGTTTTCGGAACTTCTAGGTTTCTTACTGCAGGCTTGGAAACTAAATTTTGGTTAAAACCAGAGCCATAGCCCTCATTTACACAGCAAGGAGTATGGGAGCTGCGAGGTAACTAATTGATTGTTAGGGTTACTACCTGTATGTCTAATGAATCTGTCTAAAAGTGTTAGTCTCTCCACAAAAAATAAAAAACATATGAGAAAAGGAGCTTGTAAGGAATGATCGTTGCCACACGTTTCCCCTCTAAACTTCCAGAAGTTGCCAGCTTTGGAATGCCCCATAGAAAAAAGTTGCATTCAGAGCACTGACTTCAGTTTATGTCTCCTCTGAGAATTTCTTATTCCTTTCTAAATCAATTTGGTTTTTAATATCTATGAAATTAAATGGTACTTAATTCCATATTTCAGTGATGTGCTACATCCAAAAACATTTTCTTGTTCTTGTTGTCTGAGAATTTCAATTTATATTGTGAGATAACATGCAATCATTTTCCATTTCCCTTTTTAGACTATACAATCCCTCTTAATTTCTTTTGTTATGTCTGTTTTGAAGTGATCAGTGAAAACATATATTCAAGACCTGAAATCAGCAGAGTTGTAGAGGCATTTTAATGACATCTCTGTGTTACAGAATCACAGAATCACAGAATAGTAGGGGTTGGCAGGGCCCTCTGTGGGTCACCCAGCCCAACCCCCTGCCCAAGCAGGGTCACCCAGAGCAGGGGGCACAGCACCACGTCCAGGTGAGGCTTGAATATCTCCAGAGAAGGAGACTCCACAGCCTCCCTGGGCAGCCTGGGCCAGGGCTCCGTCACCCTCAGAGGGAAGAAGTTCTTCCTCGGGTTCAGCTGGAGCTTCCTCTGCTCCAGTTTGTGCCCATTGCCCCTTGTCCTGTTGCTGTGCACCACTGAAAAGAGTCTGGCCCCATCCTCCTCACACCCGCCCTTGAGATATTTCTAAGCATTTATTAGGTCCCCTCGCAGCCTTCTCTTCTTCAGGCTGAACAAGCCCAGCTCCCTCAGCCTCTCCTTGTAGGGGAGATGTTCCAGTCCCCTCATCATCCTCGTAGCCCTCTTCTGGACTCTCTCCAGTAGCTCTTCATCTTTCCTGAACTGGGGAGCCCAGAACTGGACACAGTACTCCAGATGAGGCCTCACCAGGGTTTGTTGAACCTCATCAGGTTCCTCTCTGCCCAACTTTCCAGCCTGTCCAGGTCACGCTGAATGGCAGCACAGCCTTCTGGTGTATCTACCACTCATCCCAGTTTGGTGTCATCAGCAAACTTGCTGAGGGTACATTCTAAGTCTTCATCCAGGTCATTGATGAAGAAGTTGAACAAAACTGGGTCCAGTACTGACCCCTGGGGGACACCACTATTTACCAGCCTCCAACTAGACTCAGTGCTGCTGATGACAACCCTCTGAGCTCTGCCATTCAGCCAGTTCTCAATCCACCTCACTGACCACTCATCCAGCCCACACTTCCTGAGCTTCCCTAGGAGGATGTTATGGGAGACAGTGTCGAAAGCCTTGCTGAAGTCAAGGTAGACAACATCCACTGCTCTCCCCTCATCTACCCATCCAGTCATGTCATCGTAGAAAGCTATCAGAGTGGTCAGGCCGGATTTCCCCTTGGTGAATCCATGCTGACCACTCCTGATAACCTTCTTTTCCTTCACTTGCTTGTTGATGACCTCCAGGATAAGTTGCTCCATCACCTTTCCTGGGATGGAGCAGCAATGTTTTCCCATTTCTTTTTAATATCATTCAGTTATCTAATTTACTTTTGAAAGACTAATCAGGAAAGTAATGTTTTAAGAAAAGTATTCATAGTAAATGTTGCATCTCCTACTTAAACTGAAGTCCATCATTATATATTGAAACTAAGATTCTTTTGCACCTTATATTTTATTTCTTACAGACTAGCTTTGAATTTCATCTGTCATTTTATCTCCAGGATCACTCTCTTTAAATTTGCAACTTGGCTTACCCTGGCATATTAGTGAGAAATGGGTTTATTATAAAAAAATTATTTCTGTTTTTTTCCCTTGGTACCATTGGTAACATCAGTAACATTAGTGTGTCCCTTAATTTTATGCTTTATTGAAGTCTGTGTCAATCTGCCTGGGAAGGAAACTAGATTTAATAAACTCTATTTCCCAGCCCTGTCTTTAGAGCCTTTCTTAGATTTCAGTCGTTCCAGAAATGTTCTACTTACCTTGGCACCAAACCTGATATTAATAATACATTAGATATCCCAGGTAGTACTTCAGCAGAGTAATATTTGTGGTCCATAGCACCTGAAATAGCTGAATACATTAGTTCCTAATGCTTTCTGAGTCCTGTGATGTTGGACAAGTCACTAAAGGCTGGACTGAAAGCACATTAAAAACAATAACAAAATTCCACTGGCTCTGGATTAATCTTTTAATCCTTTTGTTTTGCGGTTAGGCTTTTCATTTTGTGGGTGAGCATTTGATATCTTTTCTGTGTCTATTCCAGTAAGTATGACATAAGAATATAAAAAAATGATTTTTTTTTTTTGTCACAAATTAAACAGGTGCTATCAATGTTACGTATGCCACAGTTCCAGGATTGCTCACTTTAAGCAATCAGACGGACGGGATCTTGGCTGAACCAGGAGCTGATTATGTATCTGTTTCTGGATCACTGATTTTGGAAGAAGGAGAAACATCAGATGCCATAAATATTACTATTCTAGAGGTAAAATGTAAACCCTTTCGTTCTATACTGATCTGTATGACCATCAGAAAAGTAATATTTTGGAACCAAAAGCTTGCAACCTGTATATTACTTGAAGCTGTATATGTATTTGTCATTCTGAAAGACAGTTTTGATCTTAATGTTAAAATCACAAAAGGACAAATAATAGCAGAAAGCAGCTTTACTTATGCTTAAACAAAAAGTAGCTGCCTCATTAAGATTTTACTATCTAATATTCAGAACAGTGTAATTCATTGCTTGCTGCAGGCTCTTACTTTCTTAATGGTTGAGGTTTACGCCTTTAAAATTGGGCAGAAATTTATTCACAGGAATAGTTCAGTGTCACCACGGAGTCTTTTTCATAAAATATAATGTCTTACTTCATAATTCATTCAAGATAATAAATTTTAAACCCAATAAAATTATTTCAGGAAAATGGGAAAAAAAAATATTCTAGTGTTGCTATAATATCAGAGACTTCTACTGTGTTGCTTTTTGGTGACTTCTGAGACAGTTTCTTAAAGGAAAATGAAAAGAAGATGTACTGAATTTGTGTTTTGCAGGATGACGTACCAGAGATGCAAGAATTCTTCTTGGTTAATTTGACTTCAGTGGAGCTCATCATGAACCATTCAACTTCATCCCCACCTAGGCTGGGTAAAGCAACTTATACAAAATTGTCTTTGCTTTTCTTTTTGTATGAATTGCATGCAGGTTATATTACTCTGATGTATTATCATTCTTCCACTTACTTGCCAACTGTGCCAATATGAGACAGAGTATTCTGAAAGAAACATTGTGGAACATCAAACATATTCATTATTACACTTGCTTCTTACTTTTTTAAGCTCTGTAAAAATTGTAAGGCAATTTTTACAGAGGAATTAGTAATTAACAGTTGGAGAGCACAATTATCTGAAAAGTTTGATTGGCAGTGTGTTGATCTGATTTTTGTTTCCAAGTACAAAACAGAAACAACAATGTCAAAGAAGTTACATGATGCAATTACCTTGTTCACTCTTTTAAAATTCTCTTTTTATTACTCTTTACTTTTAGGAGTCGTATCCTATGGTTTTCTTACTCTTTCAGTGAACTTCATGTATCATTTGCTTGGTCAGCACAACATTCTGCTTCTGAATTGAGCAGCATAGCTGCCATTGGCTTTAAGGACAGTTGGATTATTCTGTGGTACTAGAGACTAGTTATACTGCTTACTTCTAACACCTTCTTTGACTCTTTTCTCTTTTCTTTGCATGCCTATAGAAGTGACAGAGTTAATTCGTTACAGATTGAAAGGTAACTTGCAAGACTCATTGCTGATTTGTAGAGACTGAGCTGGGATTAGTCGAGTCTAAAGTCTAAAACGTGAAAAGAGTTAGATATAAGGACAAAGGATTATTCTGAACTAAACTGGGCTGAGTGCTGTTAACCTCACCTTCTGCTGTAAGGGTTGGCACTCTCTGAATCATGACCATTCGACCCTTCCATGGTATCTGCATTGGGTTAGATGTACTTAGGATGAACAAATCATAGTTTTAACCCATGAGGCAAATACTTGTCCTCATTGTAAATTGTCACTGAGAATTCTGTTATCAAAGTATTTTCTAATCTTGTTTTCCCTGATGGTGTGTTTTGATATGTTATGATTGACAATTTGACTCCTTGTTGATGCAATGCATTAGTTTAGGATTTGTAGCAGTCCCCTACCCTATAAAAGATATTTGAAGTATTTCTAGGACGTGTCTAATATCAAAAGAGATAGGTCTTCTGCACGTGATACAGGCATGTGCAGTCAATCCCACGTATCTGGAATATGTTGCACGCGCTGTTTCTGTCACGGCCCTGTGCGTGCAGTACGCAGAGTAAGTCTGGTATGTCTGTGATGCAGAGTTGAACACACTGAACTTAAGTGACCTCTGTTTCTGTTCTGAGGCTTCACTGACAAGGAACAGAAACAGAAAGCATGAAGTTGGTTCTGTTGTTTTCTCCATGCTCCTCTTGCTCCAGTCTTCTAGAAAAGGTGGAAGAAAGAGCTAATAAAAAAAAAAGAGCTAAGCTGGAGGAAGTGGGAAGGGGGAAGTCAGGGGAGGGGAAGGATGCCAGACATGAAGTGAGAGGTTTGATGTTGAAAACAAACTGCCTCGGGATTTCTGAACCTCAACAATATTTCTGCTGTTTGTCTAGAGTTTTTGCAGCTACTGTTGATCTTTATTGCCACCTCATAGTGACAGGTTTCAATTCATGCCAATGACCTTTTACTTTTGTTCAGTTTTATTTGCATTGATAGAAATCTTTCCTATGGTTGTAAATATAGTAGACTCAATGGAGTCAGTTTGGTTGTAAAAATTATTATTCTTTTCTATATTTCTTTTTAAGTCTTATTAAAAATAAGTTGAATTAAATTAAGGTAGTCAAGAGGTACTTCTGTCTGAGCAAATTAAAGCAGTGTTTTCTCACAAGAATTAAGTTCTAGCTGCCAGGTTCTGGTCCCTGAAGTAGGTGGACATTTCTGGCATTAGTCTATTATTCAGTATTGTCACAGAGCAATACATACAATAATCTTCCAGAGTTACTGGGGAGATACATATGTCTTTATGGATCAGTATAACATTACAGTACATAAACAGCCTACAAAGAAATTAATAATTATGCATTTGTAGCAGAATCTGAGGTGTGTGCCAGTAAAGTTTATGATCATGCACTGAAACATGAATGGGAGATTAAATACTCGATCATGTATTATTCTTTCTTACTCGTTTTCCCTGCCATATTCAGAATGGCACTCTTTGCAGAATGTTGAGTGTTGTCATAATAAACATATACAATGAAGATAAATTAACATTCTATGACAAATCTGCTTTTGATATTTTCTAGTTTTTCTGTGCTATGTTTTGCTTTCTGTATTTTCTTTAGTCTTTTTTGTGTGCGTTGTTAAATGTAACAGTGGTAATTCAAGGCATTGTGTTGTAGTCCTAATAGTAAGGTAGCAAGAACAGATTTTCTTTGAGCCTTGCCAATTACCTTCTCACCACCATTTTCTCCTCCACATTTTGCAAACATAAAATTATGTATTTCTTCTACAAAATTCGTAGAGATTTAAGAAATGCTTCTATTATTCTTGAAAATCATGAAAATAGACTTTGTTCTTCTTTCATCTTTGTCCTTCTGTTTTCCATTTTAGATGTGGAAGGTTTAGCTTCTCAAATTATTATTGATGCTAATGATGGAGTAAGCGGAGTAGTTGAATGGGAAAGTACCAAGTAAGTCTTATTTCCTTGAAGAACTCACTGTGTCAGCTAACGATGGGGGTTGCCCAATTATTTTCATTTTCATTTAACAGTAAAACTCCTATTAAAAATAGGGCAAGATCTTTCAGATGGCAATGGATCATTCAGTTCAGTAGAACTAGAAAGTGTAAGATAATTCCCACACTGAAATCCAACATTTACAGTATGCTTACACAGAAATCATTTCCTACCATGTGCTTACTTTCACTGCTGCCCTTTCATATTATGAACTGTGTCATTCCGCCAACCTCTGTCCGGAGTTCCAGCCTCTGCATCCATGTAAGCATACACACTGGTGTCTCCCAGATCTTTTTCTCTGACTAATTTCCAGGAGCTAGGAATGTAGGCAGGCTTAGTCTGCCACTAATAAGCAGGAAAAAGGCACAACACCCTGTAGCTTAATTCAGTTTACACAAGAAAGAAAGGTAAAACAGTTGTGTTAGACAGTTATAATGATGCTGATACTGTAATGATGGCTTTTTCATATAAAGCAGACGAAATGATTTGAAGTGAAAATATAACAGCTATCTACCATCTTATTCAAAAGAACATGCTCAGTGAGCACTGAGAATTTTTCTTGCGTTTTGTTTTAGTTTTGAAGTTAATGAATCTCATGGGAATCTGACGATAACGGCATACCGAAACAGGGGATCATATGGCAATGTGTCTGTATTTTTTTATGCCCAAAATTTGGAGGCACAGCTGAGTTTGGATTTTTATGTGACCTCAAGGGTAAGAAAAAAATTCTGAATCTAGTACTTTTCATTCCTTCAGCTTGCTTAGATGAACGTCTTCTTGTTTATTCTGCACAATGATCAGTAGTGCAGCTAAATGACATTGTAAACTTTCAAATGTCTGTCTCAAATACAATTTTACTTACACAAGATCAAATAAAATTTCATATAATTTTTCGTATTTTTTACAACAGAACTTCAAAGTAAATTGCTCTTGCTTGTCCTCATTCTGCAATGTGTTGAACGTTTTTACTTTCGTTCCAATCATTTTCTAAGGGACATAAAGCTTAAAGCTCTTCTTGCTTCCTCTTCCTTCCTATTTAAGACAGTTCTGTTTACCTTAGTTGAAAAATTCTGTGTGTATTAACAGCTATTAAGTATCAATGTTTTCTGTGTTTTAATGCTAGACTCTTTTTTTCACTGATGGAGAAAAGAATAAATCTGTTTTTGTTACGATTTTTGATGATGAAGTTCCTGAAGGTGATGAGAAGTTCCAGTTAATTTTAACAAATCCCTCTCTGGGTCTGGAATTAGGGAAGAACACAACAGGTAAGACTTAATTTTGATGTTCTCATTCTTTGGAATTGTATGGCAGTCATTTTAATTTCATTGTTCTAAATAATCATATTTCAGAAAACACCGTTTCCCTGCTATGGCAGATCTTTATAGTCCTTTGGAAAGTTCTTAACACCGCTATGAAATCTGTGCAATTAACAAGATAATGTGTAAAATAAGGAATCAAAAATTGCGAAAGTGAGCTTTTTAATGAGAGAGTCTTGTTTCTTCCTGTCTACAGAACTTCCTAGATAATGTGAAATGCTGACATATACTCTTCAAGTAATATCATGGACATAAAAGCATTATATGTATGCAGTAAATAAAGAATGGATTTGTGTTTATATTTGTTTTATTTGTGTATATACACAATTACATTTTACTGTGTTAATTAAAGAATATTTCCATTATTTATTTCTCAAAAGCCACAATTACTATACTTGCCAATGATGATGGCCATGGAGTTTTGTCATTCAATAACAGCGATCACTTCTTCCTAAGAGAGCAAACAGCTCTCCATTTGATGGAAAGTGTTGCAGTGTTAAATATTATTAGAGAACCTCCTCAGGGGATATATGGCACCGTGACTGTTCAATATCTTGTAAGTGAAATTAATTCTTCAGAGGCATCAGTGGATTTGACCCCTTCTCAAGGATATATTGTGCTGGAAGAGGGAGTCAGATTCAAGGTAATATGATAGTTATTACCAAAGAAGTGAAGAAAGGTTTTTTGAAATTGTTGGAAAGGTTTCAGAAATGTCTCTCTTTTTTCTTGTAGATATTTTTTTCTGATGTTTTTCTTTTTTGTCAGAGCAATCTAAGTGATGGGAGTGGGAGTGCATAAGAATTAAATGTACTCTTCTGGAGATATTTCTCTCTTTGTAATAGCTGAGCTAAACTGAAAACAATATAATAGGTATATAAAGTTTATGTATGTGTAGGAACATTTCTTTGTATGTATTCAGCATGTAACTGAAACACAAACTTTGAAATAAAGTGATAATTTGCAAATGCTGATAGTTAAGGTTCAAGTAAAAATCCCATTTGTGATCAGCCGATCTGAACTGAATAGTGTGCTGCAACAAACGCAAAAAGTGAACATCTCTCAGAGTCTTACGAATAGAAAATGTCTTATATTTCTGAGACTATTAAGCTCACTGCCTCTGTACTGTCCCCACAAGAAAGTCAGCTAGAAAATGAGCTAACTTAAGTCTGTGTAATCCTGACCCTTCTGATATGTAATGGCAGATAATTTTTTTTTATTATATTATATTCATTAAATTTATTTTTTTTTTTTTTTTAATTTCATTTTGTCAATAAAGCTAGGGTCAGTACAGGTTAGTATTTGACGGCTAGTGGAGTAGAATCTGGAACAAACCTTTCTGTAAACACTGGTTTCCAATTTCTGAACCTTAAATGCACTTGGAACTGCAGTGCTGGCCAGTGTAGCAGATCAGTGGGAAGTCAAAGTGTTCCTAAAACTGTCTCTAAGTATAGAATCATAGAATAGTAGAAAGTTTTGGGTCGGAAGGGACCCCCAGAGGTCATCTAGTCCAACCCCCCCGCAGCAAGCAGGGACACCACTAACTAGATCAGGTTGCTCAGAGCCCTGTCCAACCTGGTCTTGAATGTTTCCAGGGATGGGGCCTCCACTACCTCTCTGGGCAACCCGTTCCAGTGTTTCACCACCCTCATTGTAAAGAATTTCTTCCTTATATCCAGCCTAAACCTAAAAAGTATGGTTTATTACAGAAGTAAACAGGGATCTAAAAGGTCCTAAGCTCCAGTTTAGTTCCAGATCCATCATTACTTTATTTTCTGTAACAAAGCTATGTGTACCTCTGTAACTTTTGTCTGGATAGTGGGAAAGATGACAGTGAGCCCCAAAAGACAGTGTAAACACCTACCTCTTTCTAGATAATTCTCTGCTAATTTGAGACCACCTTGAGAGGGTCCTATTCTCGTCCACAGTGGTGCAGTAGAGGGAAAGAGACATCAAGAAGAGAGAGAGTATTTGCCTTATTTCCTTCTTTCTTCCCAGCACCAGTAGTGGAACTAGTTGCCCTGGAGGTAGTTTAGTTGCCAACTAAAGTGAGTTAAAACCAACTTGATTGAGCTGCCTTAGGGGATCAGGTAGCTGTATGGGGACTATGAATTACTGAGGAATGTGTGAAGTAGAGAATGAAAGTATGGCAAAAGGATCAAAAACTACTACATATCAGAGGGTTTTAGGATGAGAGGAGTAAAAAGGAGAAGAGGAAAAAAACAAAAAGTGGATGTGCTCATCTTAGTGTTGCACCAATGGAAGTCTCCAAAGGGATGACTTCAGAACCTCAGCCTGAACCGCCCTTGCCTCCCTTCTGTCCTCTCCAGTTCTCCTGCTGGATCTGACTGGGTTCTGTCATCATTGGTTGTCAATTCTCAACAACTTTCTGTGCTTGTCTTCTTGTCAGACACTGCATATTTCCGCAGTACTGGATGAAGAACCAGAAATGGATGAGCACTTCGTTGTCACCCTGTTCAACCCAACTGGAGGAGCCAGGCTGGGCACAAGAGTGCAAACTATGATTACGGTATTACAGAACCAGGCACCACTAGGGCTTTTCAGCATCTATCCAGTTACAAATAGGTACTAAATGCTGATTCAGTTAAAAGGAAATTTTTCATATTCAATAGAGATGGCATCTCTCTGCAGTTTTGTTTTTGATGAATCTCTTTGAAGATACTCAGCAATGCAATTGTAAAACCTTTGTAGTTGTATAAAGTACACTATTTGTCAAATACAGTTACTGCTAGATAAAAGAGCAGAAGAACACTTAAAATTGACTATTCATCATTAGAAGTGTCGATTTCTCTATGGAATTTTTCATAAAACAGTACTTCATTAGTCCCTAAATATTCCACTAATAATAATCCATGTTAAGAGCTCCAAACCACTGATCAGTGCCCCAGGCAGTCATACATCTGATTCTTTATTTTTGTTTTTAAACTTGTGTAAAATACACTTTCAGTCAGGGATGTTTTTCGGAACCAAAATAACTGTATGGAATGACATTTTCAATAATCATTCAGCTTAAACCGTACTGCTGGTGTGTTAGATTTCATGCTGGTTTAAGATTTTGTTGGATTTCCTTTGATTTTGCCAAGGTCTTGTGGTAAGAAACACTGGACAACCTTAATTAATGTAGCTATCAGTTCATCAGATAGCAATATCAGTTCTTAATATTTTCTCTTTGTTTCTGTTGTGTGTTCTGCACTGGAATTGTACTGTAAGAACCTTATTCGTATGCTATAAAAATAATACATTTTTTCTTTATTTTCACAATTCTCACATTTAGGACGAATTTCCTCATCGTTGAAGAAGCCAACACTACAGTTTATTTGAAAGTTTTACGGAGTAATGGGCTCAACGTGTCTGTGAGTGTCGAGTGGGAGACGTTGTCGGACACTGCGTTTGGCATCAGTACGTTCATTTTATAGAGAGTGTCCACTGCTTTTGTCAGAGAGGAGATAGCAGGAGGCTAGCCAAACATACAGGAGATGTAACTGTGGAGTGTAAATTAATGTATTCAGGCTTGATCACATGAATTAACATTTTTCTGATCATGTCAAAATTCATTAGCTAAAAGACCTTAGCTGCTTGAGTCACCACGTTGTCAGCCACTCCTGCCAGAGTGTCAGTAATCTGTATTGCTTTCCTCGCTGCTTATATGAACATTACTGTTACTAGACTTTTGTTTAATAAATCTGTTCTTTACTGCTTTACAGATTTTTCTAACAGAGTATAAGAGACACACTTTACATAAAGCTGACGTAGCCTTAGTCTCAAAAAATTGCCACCACATGTTTTCTGTTGTATCTCCCAGTTTCCCTACGGAGACGCGTTGTGCATCTCAGGCTGTAATTTTGTGAACACTTTGATATGGTCGAAGTTATCACTGCCATGGAAGGAAACTGCATTTCCATCTCTGCCCGCTTGTTCCCATTTTGATGCTGGGTACTTTTTGTTCCAGTAATGATAGGTGTATTGCTGATCCAGGCTGAAACTAGCAAGGCAAAGAAGGAAATGCCTTTTTTTGAGCACGGATGAATGCCCTGTCTGGCTCAGCAGCTATCTAGCTAATTTTCTCATTAGCTAAAATCCAAACTGAGTCATTCTGAATCAGACTCAAATTGCCCATGCATCAGCCATGTGCCATTGTAATGTTTGAAGAATATGTTTGTTGCTTAACTCACATCCTCAGTACTGTAAGATTTCTGTGCATTTACATACACTTACACCAACTATTTACACCAACTTCAACATTTCTGATACTACGTCTGGTTTTGGCAAGTAAATCTTGAAAGTCGTGTTGAAAAAGACCTCAATAATAAATAGTGTTTTCTTTTACTGTATTGCAGGAGGTAGCATCAGTGTCCTGTCTGTCTCTCAAAGTTTTGTGGAAGAGTCAGCATCCAGCTGGTGTTTCTTTACATCAGGAGAGATCCTGTATGGTGTTCTGCTGCGCATGCCTCCAGCTGTGTTTTCTACTGTCTACCAGTGGAAGGGAGTTTTTGTTCCTGTTGAGGTAAAGGTTTGCTTGCGAACGCCAAGCGTGCTACTTAATGAATAATAAGGTTAATAAGGTCTCACTTTTCCTTTTTTATTCTTCTCTCAGAATTTCAGTATGTGGAATCCTAAGGGCTGTATGTCTTTCCAAATCCGTGCTTCTCCCTACCTTGTGATTACTCACGGAGGAGCCAGGCAGGGAGCTTCCAACAACAGCGTGTATGCATTCATGCCTGGACGCAGACTGTTGAAGGTAAATCAGTTTTACTTACAAAATCATAAAATAACGGGGTTGGAAAGGACCTCATGAGGCCCTCCAGTCCAACCGTGTTTTAGAAAAAAGCACTCTGTGCTCAGCTAGCTTGGGGCCCTGACAGTCTGCATGACTTCAGTGATGTCATTTTTTTCAGCTGGTTGTCTGCTGTGTTTTTGTATCTATATTTTGGGGGTGGGAGAAAATGAAATGGGAAGTGAGGAAAGAAATTGTGGAGCATTCAAGCCATAGAACATTTTATGAAAAATGTAAGATAAGTTATTTTAATTTTTTAGAATACCTCCACAGAAGTATTTTTTAAATTGTAAAATTACGTATATATCATTTTATACATAGTTTTATATGTAATTTTGAAAAGTAAAAATGTATGTGTATATATGTATAAATTTGTCAGAGTGACTTCCAAACACCGTTTTTGTCGTATTTCCCTCACAGATACAGACTGTCTCTGTTGTGGATACCACACAGCTGAAACATTTTGTTGTGGATGAAGACAATTATTTGATTTTTGTGAGTCACACAACCAGTTCCAGTTCCGTACAGGTTAGAATACACTTGTCTTCCCTGACTTTGATGTGAGTAGTTTGTTTAATTTTGAGTTTAAAATATGAAGAGATAATAAAAAAATCTAGAAGTATGTATTTCTGAAAAATTACTTATATTTCTGTTATAGATTTAAAAGACTGATAATTCTAGACTTGTTTAAATGTAGCAATACTTACTATGTTAGCATATAGTCTACATTTAGTTTGATTTTGTTGCTAGTGTTATTTCTGTTTTGAAATCTAACATGTTAAACACCTGTAAGAACAGAAATAGCTTCTGACCAGAAACCTATTCACCTGAAGAGCCAGCAAGGCTCTCAAACTGCTGTTTGCAGTAAGGTAGTTTCTTACCATTGTGCTTCTGCCTTAATGTAGTGTCCACCTTAGAAATGAAAAATTCAGCTCACAAGAAGTCTGCTTAGTTTTTCAGTATGACATCTGATTCCCTTTCTCTTCATGCTAATTATGAATATATAAAGAAAAAAGTAATTTATATTTCTACAGGTTTTCCAGTGGAATAAGGAGAGATTTGTGCTGCATCATCAGCTTCCACTTTACGGAGCTCTGAGCATAGCCTTGTTTCCTAGAGGAGGCATTATGTACCTGTTAGTTGCTTTGTCAAACACCAGCCAGAACATGCTCTTGTACCAGTGGCTGAATAATGAGTTTAGGAATCTGCATCAAGTACCAGTGAAAGAAATAAAACATATGGAGGCCTGGATTTCTGGATCTGATATCTATTTAATTATTGCAAAAGGTATTTAGCAGAAGACAAAGGCTGAGTTTGCTAAGTGTATGCTGGCTTGTTTGGTAGCGAAGGCTGTACAGGGACCGAAGTATTACTGGGGAGTGACAATTCACTGATAAGCATTTTATCAAAGTAATCTCTGTCTTGTCCCTCAGAAAATAAAAGCATTGTGTTTGTTCCCAAAGACTTCTGAAACTACTGAAATATTTTCCCAAGAACAGGAAATAATAACTCTATTTATGTTGCTGCTGATTGTACCCTTTCCAAGCTTTTCTGAGCTTTGTGATATGCGAAGGTCATTGGTCAGCAAAGCATATGTGGTTTTTATTGCAAGTATGACATTTCAAGCATTGCTTCAAGAGCGCATCCCTATGCCGATTGAAAAGTTTATGTTGCAGTCCGTAGGTTTCTTTGCAATTGGCTGTTGCCTATTGGCAATCTTAGCATTCTTATATGTGGATGGGTGCAGGAAAGCCCTTATACGATGTCAGGGGATGAATCATCCCATGGCGATCAGTCATACTGTGGAGTAATGCACCAAGTAAAAAGATAAATGGTAAAAGATAAAATGATAATTGGTCTCACTTTGTTATTAAAGCTGCCAAACTCTGCTGTCTGAACGGCCGCCAGCACGCAATTTAACTAATAGGCAGCAAAATAATGTAAGTTTTGTCGTGTACTCCTTTGTAGAATCTGGAAATTCTTCTGACATTTTCATCTGGGAGACAGGGCAGTCTACTTTTAGACACTTCCAGTCTCTTCCAGTCTGTGCTGTGAGAAACATCCATGTTTTCATGCCTCCTTCAGGTTTAGGTAAGACTTCAACGACAATGTTTGTTCAAATCCTAGTTTATAACACTGAAATTTCAGAAATATATGTGCTCTTTTCGTATTATTTGTCAGACTAAAAATTGCTATAAGCATTGTGCTACCAAGGGCGTTTCTGGCACTACAAGAACTTTTAAATGTGTCCCTGAATATTTGTATTTTCTCCTCCTCGCTCCCTGTAGTTCACATCCTCCTGTCCGCTGAGGACACGACAGTGCTGTATTCCTGGAACTCGGAAGGGAACCAGTTCTCTGTAACGCTGGAAGCCCCATATGCGGACCACATCACTTCAGCTACTGCAAGGTCTCTGAACTCCAGCAAGAGCTTGATTGCTCTGTCCGTAGAGTCCAGCTCCCAGATTTATGAGCTAACCACTATTTCCAACCAGTCAGATTTTATACCTAGGTAGGTTTTTTTTGTTTTATATAACTTTCTCCCAGCTCTTGCATTTCTTTTTCTGTGATGATGTTTTCATTACAGTGGAGAGCGTTATGTATTTCTGTGTGTGGTGTACTTGCTAACACTACAGAGGATTTTTCACAGGTAGGTTTAAGATAGTCTGAAGTTGAATAGCCTCACAACTGGCTTTAAAACATGGCAAGAAAGGACTTGCAGTTATGACTTGATTTTTTTAAAGCTTTTAGTTAGGATAAATTAAATAACTTTCATAATTAATTCTGGTTACGCTATGATCTATTGTAATTAAAAAAAACCAAAACAAAACAAACACAAAACCCACAACCTTTAAACCTCAATTACTTCCTCAGGAATATAAACAATAATTCCAGCTCTAAAATGCTCATAAAATTTACAGCAGTGCTTTCAAACTTCATTCATCAGCTGTCCTCAGTTTATAATTATTTGATGTGTGTGTTTTTATGCTAGTTCAGGTGAATTGATATTTGAGCCTGGGGACATGGAAGCTGTGATAGCAGTCAATATCCTGGATGACATCATCCCAGAGGAGGAAGAATGCTTCAAAGTGTGGCTGAAAAACCCAAAGGGAGGTGCAGAGATTGGTGTTCATGGTTTTGTTAACATAATTATTCCTTCCAATGACAATGCCTATGGAGTCATTGCATTTGCTCAGGTAAAATTTTTAAGGTAAATCATTAAGATATGTATGTATAATTTCTGAACAACAGAACACACACATACTAAAACTGTGAAGTGGAGCGTGTGACAGGATTGTTTTTCTAAAGTCTTGTAACAAGCCGAGCTGGAAGATTTTTAACATCCATTTAGCATTGCTATGTGATTAAATAGAACACAAGGTCATAGAACGTCAGTTCCACAGTCTGTCCCTATTCTGAGATTTCTATAATCCCCTTACATTTAGATTAACACATTACTTTAGCTGCTTGGTCTTGCAACACCTTAAAATATCAGTTTTCAGGTGGCATATATGATATCATCATAGAGTTGTTACGGTTGGTTAATCAAGGGAATTAAGTAAACAAATCTGAAGATCTTTTTCCCCTAAAAAAGACATTAATTGCGTTATGTCACAAGATGAGCCACTCTGCCAGAACAAAATCATCTGTTTTGTTTTGGCCTGGATAAATGCCAAGTGCCCACCAAAATCGCCCCATCACTCCCCCTCCTCAACCGAACAGGGGAGAGGAAATATGAGGGAAGGCTCGAGGGCCGAGACAGGGACAGGTAGAGATCTCTCACCAGTCACCATCATCGACACAACAGACTGAACTTGGGGAGAAAAAGGAGTTTCATTCATCACCAATCAAATCAGAGGAGAACAGTGAGAATTAAATTCAGATCTTAAAACACCTTCCCCCCACCCCTCACTTCTTCCCGGGTCAACATCATTCCTGTTTCTCTCCCTCCTCCCCCCGAGCTGCGGCGCAGGATGGGGAATGGGAGTTGCGGTCACAGTCCATCACACGTCTCTGCCGCTCCTTGTCCCTCAGGGGAAGGACTCCTCACCCCTGCTGCAGCGTGAGGTCCCTCTCACTGGAGACAGTTCTCCACAAACTTCTCCAATGTGAGTCCTGCCCATGGGCTGCAGCTCTTCATGAACTGCCCCAGCATGGGTCCCTTCCACGGGGTGCAGTCCTTCAGGAACAGGCTGTTCCAGCGTGGCTCCCCACGGGGTCACCAGCCCTGCCAGCAAACCTGCTGCGGCGTCTTGAGCACCTTGGCCCTCTCCTTCTTCACTGACCTTGGTGTCTGCAGAGTTGTTTCTCTCACATTGTCTCACTCCTCTCTCCTGACTGCAGTTTCACTGCAGTTTTTTTCCTCTTCCTAACTATGTCATCCCAGAGGTGCTACCACCATCACTGATTGGCTAGGCCTTGGCCAGCAGTGGGTCTGTCTTGGAGCCAGCTGGCACTGGCTTTATCAGGCATGGGGGAAGCTTCTCACAGCTTCTTGGAGAAGCCACCCCTACAGCCACCCCGCTACCAAAACCTTGCCACGCAAACCCATAAGATCATCTATTTGGAAAAATTGTCAGACTGAAGGTACTATTTGGAGTGGTTCATTCTTAAATCGTCAGTCACTGTAAAAGTTATCTACATAGGTGTGTAGTAAATGCACACAAAGATATAAAACACAGAAGAGTCGTTACTGAAATGAAACTTTGCATCTGGACTTGTGTGAGGAGGAATAACAGTAAACTAACAACAGTAAAAATACGTCTCTCTTGAAGGTCTGATTGTTTGTTATCTGCTTCATACAATCTGGACACAGAGTACTGTAATAAAAAAAGAAAAAAAAAACAAAAAAAAACCCAAATAAAAAACATTCAGTTTTGACTTAGAATAAAGAGGCCTGACATTTAAAACTCTTACTTCCATGAAACCTCAGAATATTGAGTACCTCTGAAAACTAGAACATATAAATTTAATCAATGAACATGTATTTAGCTACTTAATAGTAGATTAACTTATTGATGCCCAATGTCACTGTCCCCCATTGAATACCCAGATCCCTAAATAAACTTTTCTTTATAAGAAGATAATGTTATAGTTCTGCTACTTTATGTTTTCCAGAGTTCTTTATTTAAGCAAGTTGAAGAAATGGAACATCACAGCTTAATCACTTTGAATATTGAACGTTTAATAGGAACATATGGACGAGTTACAGTAGAGTGGGTCGCTAATGGGAGCATAAGCGATGTATTTCCAGCTTCAGGAATGGTATGTAATAACATCACTGATGTTAGGAGAGCACTGACTGTTGTCTCAGGCAGTAGGTGCAGATGTAGTGAGGGAGGAGGACAGTATATGTTAGATTACTCCACTCTTCTGTCAGTTCCTGCTTCCTGGTCCTTTCCTGTGATTCTGGCAGTTTTCACTTGTGGCTGGCACCAAACACCGCAGCATCACTCTTGCTCTGCTAGAACCAGGTGTTGCAATGCTGTTCAGGCACTAGAAATGTGTGTCTGTGGTATCCTATTCCCATCTTCCTTTCTTCTTGCTGTGAGATCCAGCTACTGTGTCAAATCTTCTACGTAGGTGGGAATCAGGCAGTATTTGCTTTTTGTCCTGACCTTGTCAGTACATCTGAGAACTTCAGATGTACGAGTGCCTGTTTTCACTGTTCCTGAGACTGTTTAGATTTCCAGCTGTGTTAGAATCCAGGGTTTCCTGCTAGCCAAAGCTCTTGCTACGTCTTAAGACCAACAGACGCCAGGTTTAAGTCAAGGACCTCTTCCTAGTGTCCATCTGTAGGAGACACAAAGCCCTGTGAGCTTTGAGGCTGCAGAGCTGTAACACAAGCTACAGCTGAGGGAGGAAAGGGCCAAAAGACTGTAGAAATAAACTGTACCTCTGGGAATAATGGGTCTGAAGTGTGATAAAAAAATTAAAGAAAAATTAACAAAGGATAAATCAAGGTTGCCAAAACGGTCATACTGAAATTATTAAAATACTCCTTGAGCATTCTAGATGGATCCTACATGATTTTCCTGCGTTCTTTTGCAGGGAGGAAGAGACAGAAAGGTAAAGTAATGGTATAGTAATGGTATAGTGTTGTTCACTGGCGGTTTTTGTGTATCCTCCAGAGCAGGTGTAGGCAAGTCTTTCTTGTTGAGAGAGACCTAATCAAGTGGCTGGCCCTTTGAATTTAAAAATAAGAAGAATATATATAGAAAAAGCATTCCTCGATCATTTTACCTGAAAAAAAGGATGAGATCAACGAAAGTGTTGACAAAGCATAGTTTTTCAATTAATGCTAATGTTGATTCTTTTGACATATTTATGTGTGATGGGTTGACCTTACCTGGCTACCGAACCCCCACCCGTCTGCTCTCTTTCTCCCCCTCCTCAGAAGGACAAGGGGAGAAAATAAGGTAGAAAAGCTTGTTGGCAGTTAGTAAGAAAAGCAAAAGCCACTCATGGAAGCGAAGCAAAAAGAGGAATTTATTCTCCACTTCCCATCAGCAGACAGATGTCCAGCCGCTTCCTGAGAACCAGGTCCTCAGTACAAGTAGCAGTTGCTTCAGAAGACAGACGCCATAACCACGAATGGTCATCTGTGCTTCTCCCCCCTTTCCCTCAGCCTTTATTTCTGAGCATGGCATCATACAGCATGGGAGATCCATCTGGTCAGTTGGGGTCAGCTGTCCTGGCTCTGTCCCCTCCCAACATCTTGCCCACCCCAAGCCTCTGGGCTTGTGGCAGGGGGTTTGGCTGGAAAACCTCTGTGCTGTGGGAGCACTGCTAAGCAGTAGCCAAAATGTTGCTGTGTCTCCAGCGCTGTTTCAGCCACAAGTTCAAAGCAGGGCACTATACAGGCTGCTGTGGGCAAAGTTAACTATCCCATCCAAACCTGGTACACTGCAGAAGAAAGGATGCTGAGTTGTCAGCAGCTTCCTGAATCTTCCTCTCTTCCTCTTTTTTACTATTTGAGAGTCTTAAATTTGAGTGTATTATGCAAGAAGCCTCAGTGAAAACAGGCAATTTTAAATAAGTTACAGAATCACAGAATCACAGAATAGTAGGGGTTGGAAGGGCCCTCTGTGGGTCATCTAGTCCAACCCCCCTGCCGAAGCAGGGTCACCTACAGCAGGCTGCACAGGACCTTGTCCAGGCGGGTCTTGAATATCTCCAGAGAAGGAGACTCCACAACCTCCCTGGGCAGCCTGGGCCAGGGCTCCGTCACCCTCAGAGGGAAGAAGTTCTTCCTCGTGTTCAGACGGAACTTCCTGTGCTTCAGTTTGTGCCCGTTGCCCCTTGTCCTGTCACTGGGCACCACTGAAAAGAGCTTGGCCCCATCCTCCCGACCCCCACCCTTCAGATATTTGTAGGCATTTATAAGGTCCCCTCGCAGCCTTCTCTTCTTCAGGCTGAACAAGCCCAGTTCCTTCAACCTCTCCTCGTAGGGGAGATGCTCCAGTCCCCTCACCATCCTTGTAGCCCTAAAGTTGAAAGGTATATAATGGAAGACAAGTTGAACACGTGTGCTTGCAGCAAGGAAAGCATACTGGTCGGTGGCAGAGCAGTGCCAGCAGGTTGAGGGAAGTGATCCCTCCCCAGTACCTGGCACTGGTGAGGCATCGGGGCTGCTGTGCCCAGTTCTGTGCTCCACAGTGTGAGGCATGAGCAACAGGAGTGTGTCAGCAAAGGGCCGTGAAGATGATGAGGGGATCGGAGCATCTGACACATGGGAAGAGGCTTGGGGAGGATCTCACAACTGTCTTTAAATATGTGGAGTCAGGAGTAAAAAAGATGGAGCCAGGTACTTCTCAGCCTTGTCCTGGGCCAGCAATGGGCACAAAACAGGAAATTCCATTTAAACGTGAGGAAGCAAGTCTTTCCTGTAAGGGTGGTGAAACACTGCATGAAGTTACCCAGACTGGTTATGAAGTCTCCGTCCTTGGAGATATTTGAAAAGGGGATGGATGTGATCCCGAGCAGCCTGCTGTGGTTGAACCTCTGCTTAGCAGGGGGAGTTGGACTGGGTGTTCTCCAGAGGTCCCTTCCCACCTCAGCCATTGGGTGATCCTATGGTAACAAAGATATATGATCACTTCAAAATCACGGAGCTGTTTTGCCTAAACCTGGAGTGCACTGTCAGGAAAGTCTCAGGCTGAACTCCTGTTTGTAATGCAGATACCTGCAGTTAGTTTGATTATACCAAACTCGTTCTCAACTAGGAATTAGGCCTCTCTGGTTATTACGCTTCCAACTGAGAATCTATTTCTTACTTTGTCACCTATGTTTCAATATATTTTTACCTGTATTTTGCTACATTTCATTTTTCTCAAAATGACTTTCTTTTGCTTGTCTCTCTGGATCTCATATTTATTTTTTGTACACTTCCTTAAAATTTTGGGGATTTTTTGGAGTGGTGGTGGTTTTGTTACTTTGTGGTGTTTTTTTTATTGATAGAGTTTTACAGAATAAAGTGATTCGTATAACAGCATTGAGAAGAATTTTGACTTCTTTTTCCTCCCCACCTCTAAAACTTCAGATTACGTTTTCAGAAGGTCAGGCCCTGTCCACAATCACCCTGACAATTCTCGCAGACAGTGTTGCAGAGCTTTCAGAGACCGTGGAAATCACACTCACCCACGTAACCACTGTTGGCGTCCAGGATACCACAAAAGGAGCTGTCATCGATCCCAAAAGGGCAAGAGCTGTACTTACCATTTTACCCAGTGACTCTCCACATGGTGTGGTTGGGTGGCATATGGAGTCTCTCTTTGTTAAAGTCACAGAGCCAGAAGGTAAGACTGTTTCTTGACTCTTAGGAAACAATACACGTTTTTTTCAAAGTCAGTGTTGTTGAAGCTATAATGTTGGTTATATAAAAATTATATATAAAAATATAAATTATATCTATATTGTTTATACCTATGTCAGCATTTTTGCATGAAATTGGTAGCAGAAATATGCTTTCAAATATGTAACTATGCTATTTCATTACATACCTTTTATGCTGTATTTCACATTGCATATAGCAAAATTATCCAGTCGTTTTTGTTTAGGCGGTAAGTGAATAAAATCTTGGCATCCTGTGTTGCAGATCACTAACACATACAATACTTCTGTTTAGATAAAAAGCTGAACTTGCCCGTTTAATAGCACTAATATATTGCTTACAATAATTTACATAGTAAGACTTTCCTCATGAACTGGGTCTAGAAGGGAAGCATTTTGTTCTGTAGTGTAGGGGAAGGAAGGAAGCATTTCAGGAATACTGAGTCGGGGTTTTTCTGCTTGCCAGCTGCGTGTTTGATTGGGTTATGTCCCTTTTCCTTACAGGCACGAAGTGATATTGCGAAGGCTCTGCCAGGCAGTTGGCCAGAGCAGGCTCCTGCCCTCCCTGCTGGCCCAGGGATCTGGGCAGCTGATGGCCCTGGCTTTCTCTGCAGCCCGATGGTTTTCCAGCAGCTGCCTGATGGGCTATTCATACTTCAAAACCCCAGCTGAAATTTCCTGGCAATTGACTGTTCTGTTCCTACTAACAAATAAAATTTACAAAAAAATACATTTTCCATCCGCATATTATCGCAGATAAAATCCTCATCACCAGTTCTAATTCAAAGTGAATTGGCGTTGCAGCTTTTTTAGCACCTGAAAGTATTGTGAAGGGATTCTTGTTGGCTCCTCACATACGCACACACGCACATTATGAACGTTTGTACTTTGAACTGAGGATTCAGGGCATGTTCTTAAATTTCATTTGTTGCACAGTTTCTTTTCCAATCTTTAAATGTTATATTTTTAATTAATTATATACAGGTGCTAACTGTGAAGTAGTGTCTAGTTAATATGAGTAACTGAAACTAGTCTGAAGTACAAAGCCTGTTGCCTTTTATCTCTTTCTATTTCTCCAGTCATAAACCCAGCACTTTTAGCCAAATGATGTGTTTGGCAGTTTATAGGAAAAAATTGCAAATGTGTTTTCCTGAAAGGGATCTGACCCTAACTGATACAAGTGTATCTCATTTTATTCGACAAAGTTAAATTAAGGAAATGTAAAATTTACAGCCAGAGTGGCTGCCTCCAGTGCTGCTCTCTGTACTAGAATTGATAGTGATCTCCTAGGCGAGTAAAGGCCAGGCAAAATAGTGAGATGGGAGTTTTGAAGGAACACTGAATATAGAGGGTGATTTTGAAGTAACAGTTTGTGTAGCAAACATTTAAAATTGTAGATATTCTGTATTTTATTCTTCATCTAGATCAGCTTTAAAATGCTTTCCAGATGTACACACTGTGTGTCCTGTGTGTTCACACCACTTGTATGTGCTCATTTGCCTGAGTCACTGAATTATCCAGGAATTGTTGTGTTGCTAAGCAGAATTGAAGTGGGCACTAGCAGACAGCTCCTGTAAGATTAAATGAGCTCAAAATCAAGCAGGACAAAGGTTAAAACAATCATGTCTTGATTTGCTTCCCCACCTTGTCATAGGGCGAGTGAATTCAACTGCTCTTACTTTACAAATTGTTCGAGAGCAAGGGTTTGTTGGAGAGATTGCCATTCAGCTGAGCACTGTGCCTAACTTGGAACTCCCGCTTGCCAACCAAGCAACAGAGAATGAGGATTATATGCTGGAAAATAAGACAATCATTATGGCAGAGAACGCAACAATAACTTCAGTTGTAGTCACTATTTTGCCTGTGAGTAGTCTAATAACACCTTTAGCTAACAGTGTCTTTTAAAGAAAGGGAAAATGGTGCTGTTTCTATACCAGAAGTGGGATGTAGCATTCTAGAAATGGCTACAGTGGGGTTCTTGCCTTGTCAGATGGTTGTATATTAGTAAGAATTGCAGCCATCTCTTTCAAAAGAGTTTGACAATTCATTACTGATAAAGAATCAAATTTTTTGCTTCATAGTAGTCCCAAAATTAACATATAATAATGACAAAGGAAAAAAATGATGAATGTCTGAGGTGCCTGCTGTTTTTTCAGCTTGTTGGAGGTTTTTACAGAGGTTTTATTTTACTTTATATGTCTCTTAACAAATCTGTTCTGTCGTTCAGGAAATGTTAATTTTTCACCAAAAAAATGCATATCCTTTAAATGTAGTCAGGATGGAGGTGTTGCTTTTCAAGTTCTGGCTTAGTTTCTGAAATCTAGCCACCTTTCTTGTATATAGGAGAAACAAGTGACAGCCAGCAATACTTTCCACCATTCTTACAGATCTGGAATCTGACTGTCAGCTTCAGTTTCTAAAGCTCAGCAAAGGTAGTCTTTATCACCTTTGGTGTGGTGTGAAGCAAGGGATTGGTTATATGGTCCCAAGTGCTCACAATTTTTGAACCGTAGGCAACCTACAAGTGGTCAGCTTCCTGCAAGTATTATAACTTACAGTATTTTATTAAAAAAGTGATGTTTAAAAATATTTTTGCAGGACGATGTTCCAGAATTACAGGAAGGATTTATAATCAATATTACTGATGTTCAACTCGTCAGTTCTCCCACTGGAGGTCAGCCAAGCGTGAAGAGGCTTGGGTTAGAAATAGCTGAAATAACAATTGAAGAAAATGATGATGCCAGAGGAGTGTTTAGTTTCAATGTTACAAAGGTAAGTAAGTCTGAATGAAAAGTATTTAAAGTAGCATTCCAGGAGAAGAGTCTGTGTCTTCAGACCAGTTTGATAGTGTTCTAGTAGGCTTTATGACACTAAATTGTTATGGATGAAAAGGCCAGATATTAGACAAAATGTTCCTTCTTAAAAGATTCTTCAGAATTAATATATGAAATTTATTAGGGAGCTGGAAGTGCTAAAACTGGTGTCATAGAATATTCTGAAAGATATACCTCAGGAGGTCATCTTATCCATCCTTTTGCTCAGAGCAAGGTCAATGCTAAATTCAGAGCAATTTACAAGTTGTTATGTATTTCTTAATTTATTTTTACCTGAAAATCAGTATGCAAAAAAAAAAAAAAAACCCAAAAAATTGTTGCTGTGACATTCAGCAGTTTCATCTTGAATTTACAGGATATAACTGGAGCTGTTGCTGGGTATGAGGTACCACCACCACAGAATATACTGAAACTTCCACTTGTTAGACAGGCTGGGAGGTTTGGGTCAGCAACTCTGTATTGGGAAGCCATTCATTTAACTGCTAGCTTTGAAGACTTCACACCATCATTTGGAAACCTTACATTTGCAGATGGGCAGGTAGGCGCTTGCTGAATGTTTAACTGTCTCTAAGTTACCACCTTACGAGTTTCTTATGTTTTCTTCTATCAGAGTTTGCATCTTTTCATTGAAAATACTTTGTTTATGGCCTTATGTATGTGAACGATGCTACTGACTTCAGTTCTTTAACATGGAAAAGCAGAAGGTTGATTAGCATTGACCAAATAGGGTTGTATGCCTTTGGTACCTCCCACAAGTGAAGACATAATTTCTAATAATAAGCCTATTACACTGAGAATTTGTAACATAACCTGTCTTCTTGACAAATTCTCAGAATAAGCCTGTATGTTTTCTTAGCTGTGTTCTACATATAGTTTTAAATTTCGTACTGCTACCCCTGACAATACTTGGTGATTTCAAGTGAACAGAACTGGTCTTTGACAAATAGACAAATAGAGTTTTGGCTTAAGTACAATATTGTCTACTTGCACTTTTTACTGAGTACCAAAACAGAGCAGTCTGCTCGTTTTAACATGCAAGATTTACATTGATGGACTTAAAAACCACTCTTGAAATGTTGTTATCTTACTATAAATATACAAGTACAATAAGAAACAAGCACAACTGAACAATATTTTTTATCTGTATTAGGTAAAATTTACATATTTTTAATTTCAGATTTTTTCTAATAATTCACAGAACAGTATAAGTGAAACTTTGTTGCTTTTTTTTTTAACATTTTCTGCAGGCTACAGGAGAAATAGAAATTACGATCATAGATGACAGTGAAGTTGAATTCCTTGAGATATTCAGGATTGCCCTGGTGAGGGTAACGGGTGGTGCCAGGCTTGGGGATGACACCCTGGTAACTGTCGCTGTTCCACCAAATGATTCCCCTGTTGGAGTATTTGGGTTTGAAGAAAAGAATGTGAGTTTGATTTGGATTGCCCTCTTTTCTGCTAAAGCTGGATAGCGGGTTTCTGTCACTAACACACAGGCGGTTTTGGTGAGCCTACATTGCAGCAGGAGAAGAGACTTCACTGAAAGGCATATGAGTGCTTGTCTTCATCTAGCTGTGTCGGGTGGTAATAACAACAAAAGTGCTGCTGCATAGATGTAGATTTCTGCATGACTGAATTAATTTAATTTGGTATACTAACAATTCAGAACATCCCAGGTAGGATTTTTTGTGTTCTATGCAATATTAAAATGGTTTTGTGGTAATCTGTGTTAGTGAAAATAAAGTTTGGAAAGAAATTACAAAATGTACCTCATCTCAGTTCTTGCCAGTGAATGAGTCTTCTGCTCTCCATTTTGCTGGTGCTGTGCCTGCTTGTGACTCATTGTCTGTAATTGTTTAGAATCATAGGGCAGACAGAAAGAACAAGAGTGACTAATCTTGGCTAGTAGAATTCAACACATTCCTCACATCTGTTATCTTCCCGTCGATTTTCACTGTTGTTGTTATTTTACATTGTCATTAATAGTGCTTTTGGTTGTTTCTCTCGAGTCAGTATTGGTGCCTTTTGCTACAGCCTTTCCTCCTTCCTCCTGCTCTTTCTGCATCAGGTAACAGTGAGGGAACCTCAGACACCCGATGATTCTGCTGCTGTTGTATTGCTCACAGTGAGTCGCAGCCAAGGAGGACGAGGAGCAGTTAAAGTGTTATGGATTCTGGAGGAAGCAGCCAGATATGATCTGACCCCTCTGAATGGTACCCTGCACTTCAATGAGGTATTTCTGATAAGACAATTAATTATATACTATTAGATTTACAAATACTTCCTTCTTCTTATGTGTGTTTATATGGTTATTGTTATGTTTATAAACGCAGGGGGCTACTAACTATTATAACTCTAGGAAGAGGCCAGTTTGAACTGGTGGGGATAGCAGTATGCGGTGTTTTTTCACGCAGAAATGGAAAGCTGACATACTGTTTTTAAGGCAGCGTACTGCAATCATCAGGAAGATAGGCTCTTCAAATCTGAATTGTTTTTACAATCAGGAGAAAGGAACAAAAATGTACTGAATGTGAAGAATGATTACAGAAACATTAATTCCATTACAGCATCAGGCAACTGAAAGAGAAAAATGATATTGAAAGGATAAGGAGAGTAACAGAATGCTCAAAACTTACAAATTAAAAAAAAATAAGTAATAAAACACCCTAGTGACATTCAAACTGGACAGTGTTATTTGATTTGTGTTTCATGGCAGGTTAAAGCTCTGAAGCAGGAACTGAGATATTGGATTTTGTCAAAATATATTTATTACCTTAATATTGGTGTTTTACACACTACTTGAAATATTTCATGAAAAAAATGTTTTAACATAATCTGCTCTGTCTGTACAAGGCTATTTTGCATTAAACAAACAGGCATACTTGTTGTTTCTTTTAATCAGGTGGAAAATAGCTCTTTTTTTTGTCAGGCCACCAGTATTTGGTAAAGTTTTGCTATCATTTTTCTGTCCTTTCTCTGCTGATAGGCCTGGACATTGTTTTTTCTTCCTGAAGTTCTTATATATTCATACATGGGAGAATACAAGTATGCATATGTAGGGTACTAAAGTTATACAGCTTGTACCTACTTTTTTCCTATTTCCATTTGCTACTGCCCACTGATGAAAATGTGGATTAGACAGGAATTTCCTGTGACCTAGGATATCTAATATTAACAATATAAATCCTTAGAATGTATGTATTCTATTGAATAAGCATTTTCAGATGGAAAAGATTCTGTATAGAAAGTTTCCTCTAAGTTGAAAGCTTCTATGTGAATACAATTTCAAAGTAATTCTGATAGTTATTCAGCTGAAAATAGCCAGGGTATTTTTGGGGTAGCAGACAATGTTTGAGGGAGAATTTTTGCTATTTATTAATCTGTGAGAAAACATTTCAACCAGATCAGAAATGTCAATTTAAAAAATACTACAGGATATATCAAGCATATGCATGCTGAACACTTGATCTGTTAAAGGAAAAAAATTGTTTTATAATACTGTATTTTGTTAAGTTTCCCTTAATGTGTGTATATATATCTTCTGGTCTTTACGTGATGCAGACTGAATCCCAGAAGTCAATTGTTTTACATGCCATCCAAGATGGTCTGCTGGAGGGGAATGAAACATTTACCATTCAGCTAGTCTCTGCTGGTGATGCAGAGATATCCCCTGTAAATGGTAAAGAATTAATTAATTATGTTCTATTTTGAGATACTTCATATGAGAATCCTAGCAAGTCTGTTCATATTGTTTTAGTCTGCAGTGCTTATATATTTTGTGTGCAGCTAGTTGATAGCAGTTTTGACTGTCAGTCTTTTTCTCTAAGTTGTTTCCTTGTCTGAAGAAACCAAAGAGAATTTTAGATCATAGTATTTTGTTCTACATTAATTGTTGGTGTAGACTTTTGTGTTCAAATAGCTAACATTGTCCATGTCAAATTCTTTAATGAAAAGAAGTAAAAACCAAAACCACGTTCAGACCTGCAAGAAATGTAGAATAATTTCATTTGTAAGAGACTGTCCGGGGTGGGTCATCTAGTTGAGAACCCTGCTCAAGGAACTGGAGAATTCACAATTAGATCAGGTTGCTGAATGCCTTGTCCACTCAAATTCTGAATATCTCCAAGAATGGGGATTCCGTGGGCTCTCTGGGAAGTTGGTGCTTAACCACTCAAGTCACAAAATTTACAAAAGTAGAGCTCATTAGTTAGTTTTCATTTACCTTGAGAAACTTTGTTCTCTTCATAGGTACTGCAACCATCATTATTGTGGGTGATGAAGGAGCTTCTGGGGTGGTTGGGATAGCCCTTTCATCCAAGCATGTTCTGATTGGAGAACCTTCAGGAAATTATAATGGAACTGCTCTTATTAGGTGCGTATATCGCTCATTTTTCCAAAGAAAGGACAACAGCTCAGTTTCCAAAGCTGTGAGACTCCACATTTGCCAAAAAATTCCTGAGTGCTGCATTTCATTATTGCTTCTAAAATCAGAACTATTTTTAAAATAGTTTTAAAACTGCTTGTTTTTAAAGAAGGGCAGAATGTACTGTGTATGTATCTTCTCAGTGTTACTGGTGAGCTTGAAATATTCCTCTCAGTCTTCATATAATTTACAACATTGACTCATTAAAGGAAAGAGGATTCCAATCAAAGGAAGGGGGGGAAGGGAATCAATGATATTTGAAGATGCTTTGTGCTTTTCAGGATTCGGTTCAGTGTTGATGCCTGAACTGTATTTCAGTATATTGCTGTTATGGCTACCATAACCAAACTGGGAACCGTTTTTTTAGCTGAAACAAGAGGCAATTATTTCACTGCATTCAGTCGACTGAAAACAGAATGAAGAAATGAAGATGTTACCATGCCTTCTAAGAGTATTTGAAAAAAGGATTATGATGCTTTCCCATGGTGAAACAGCAAATCTCAGCAACAGAACAGCTTCTCATGCTGCCTTGAGAAGCCCAAAAGGCAAAGTGATGCTTTGTGCAGCAGTAATTATATATCATGTAGTGGATTGTGGAAGATACAGACAAATTTTTGCCATGGCTTAGTTTAGCAAGATTGATGTCATGAGCAGGATTAGGCTCTAGGTTTTTAGACAAGTAGGAGACAGAACATTTCTGAAGTGATCTCATAGTAGTGTTCTAGTGTTCTTCTGCCTTAAAAACCAAATAGCCTCTTGGAATTACCCTTAAGTCCCATTTCCTTTCTGTTTTGCATATCTATCTCCGAAACAGCAGAGTGGAACCAAGACAGCTCAGTTTTCAGCCCCCACCTTTGGGCTGTGTGTGGAAAGAAACTTTAAAGACCTGTTGGTAAAAATACAGCTCAAGATGCCTCCCAGCACAAGGAAATAAAACAAAACTTCATAAATGTTATTGCTCTGAAGAGGGAATTGTAAAGATCTAAATAGTGACTTAGTACATTAAAACTCCAGCTTCACAGTGCTGAAAACATTTCTTTCATGCATACCCTGGTTTCAGCCGGGGTAGAGTTAGTTTTCCTCCCAGTAGCTGCTGTGTTTTGGGTTTAGCTGGAGAAGGATGCTGGTAACACTGATGTTCTCAGTCGTTGCTATGAAATCAAGGACTTTTCTCCAGTTTCTCATGTTCAGCTGGTGAGCTGGAGATGGGAGGTAGCACAGCCAGACAGATAGTGAAGTTGGCCAGTGGAAATATTCCATGCCATGGACGTCATGCTCAGCTTATGAAGGGTGGATGGCTGGGGGGAGGAAGCTATCTGTTTCTCTCTCATTTCCATGAGTTTGAATGCTCTCTGGTCCAGGAGTTCAAGCTTTTTTCAGGCTGCGAATTGGTCATTGAATGGTGACAAAAAATATGTTTCATGTAGTTTGTTTTGCATATTCATTATAACAATTATTATGATCATTACAATTATTAGTATTATTAGTAGTATTGGTATTTCCTTTGTTGCCTTATTAGAGTGTCTTTACCTCTTCCCAGGAGTTTCCCCTTCTGTCGACTGAGAGAGTGGCTGTCTGATGTTTAGCTGCCAGCTGCTGGGTTAAACCACGGCAATGCACAACGATATGATATACTGTCTGTCTGTATTGGAGATTAAATATTAAAAGTAGAAAATAAAACCCATGTTTGTGTTCTTACCTGCAGCCTTATACGTGGCCCAGGGATTTTTGGTGAGATCGTAATTTATTGGAATATAACACCGCCTCATCAAACAGAATTTGTGGAGACATCAGGGAACTTGACAATGCGAGACAGGCAGTCTGCAGCAGTTGTTCTAATACAGGTATATGAGAGCTTTTGCATGAGCAGGTATTTCAAGTACTGCCTTATATTTAGTTAATATCTTGGTTAGAAATTAGTTATACCTCTGTCCCTGGAAATGGTTTAAATCCTTCCAGCTGTCATTCTTTCTTCTCCCTAGGCTGTAGATGACAACCGTCCTGAGGAGAAGCATTACTACAAGTTTCAGCTAACTGGAATCAGTGATGGAGGACTCATAAATGAGTCTAGCAGCACAGCAAACATTATAATGGCTGCCAGTGATTTTCCATATGGGGAGTTTACATTTTCACAGGAACTACTGCAAACAACAGAAGAAGAAAAATGGGTATAAGATTAAAATACCTTCTGATGTAAAATATTGATAGATATCAATATTGTTGCTAGATTTATGCTTAACTTTAGAAATAAAAATCAAATATTTATTCTATTTTTATCATAGCACAGTCTCCAGAATGGCTGAGGCTTTGGGAGTTTTTTAATACTCCGAGATAGAAGGCTATCTGCTAAGTGAAGTGTACTCTGTACTTGCTAAAGCAAATTATTGTTACCTGACAGGACCACTGAAAAGATGTCTTTAGAACAGTGTCCTAAAGGCAACTGTAACAGAAAAACAAAGCCATTTTTTAAAGGTTCCAGGGGATCCTATGGCAAAGTGCGTCTTTGCTTTGAGATAATAAATGGTACTGCAGAGGAGGGAACTGATTTCACTCCCACAGTAAGGGAATTGTTGTTTGACCCACATGAGGAGAGTAAAATGATTTTGATTGAAATTCATGATGATGACTTTCCTGAAGGTCCTGAAGACTTTTCAGTGATGATTGCCGAAGTGGAACTCCAAGGAAGGTAAAGATACAATTCCCAGTTGGTTGATTACAAGCAGAAGAACAAACTATACTTGGAATCTATCTATCTGCATAAAGTCAGCAGTGGATTTCAGCTGTTCTACTGTAAAATTGCATAAGGCAGCTACAAAAGTAATCATAATAGAAATTGGATGTATGGGGAACCCAATTCTTTTAACATTAGTATAAAGATTTTGCTGATGAAGATTTATTAAAGCTATAAGTCCATACACTATATAAAGTTGTCAAGTTGCATGAAATTCAAATAAGAAGATAAAATGAGAAAGAAAAAATGAAAGATATACATTTATGTGAAGAAACTGTTATTTTTGCATATACAATAGTTTGAAAAAGTGTGACCAAAAAGTCTTTACTGATAACTGTCAGAAAATAAAAATATTTGTGATGAATGAAAAATTGTCATACCTGCATCTTAACACTTTCATAAGAAATTTTTATGTAATTTTCTTTTTTATGTACTTGTAAGTGGATTTGATTTTACTGTGAAAGAAAATGGTCTACAGCTGGATCAGCCTCCCATCATAGGAAATATCTCCACAGTACGAGTCACTATAGCAAAAAGTGATAATGCAGAAGGCATCATAGAATTTGATCCACAGTATATCCTTCTACAGGGTAAGTTTAACTCAAGCTTTCACTGTGATTTACAACACAAGTCTGTGGTTATGACATAAATTTCAAAATGAAATAACTTTTTCTGAATTATTCTTGCAGTGGAAGAGGATGCTGGATTAATCATGATTCCTGTTGTGAGAAAGCGTGGAACTTATGGCTATGTAACAGCTGATTTTCTTTCTCGAAGTATATCTGCACTTCCTGATGGTGTTGACTATGCCATCCATAATAATTCTGTCATTTTTCATCATGGCCAGAACCAGACTTTTATTTATATTTCTATTGTAGATGATGAAGAAAGGTAAGTAATTTTTCAGGTGTTTATTCACCAATTTACTTCTGACAAATACTTTTTTAGCGTGTGCAGCATGCCTGTGTGTAGAATTGGAAATGAAAAATTAATTTCTGCAGTGCTGAAAAATCACCTAAATTTAAAGGTGGAAAAAAGAAGCAATTAGTAGAGTTTCATAGTTCCTGTTAAATTTTATGCTAACAAATACATTTTTTTTCAATAGGTTATCAGAAATTTTGAGTGTTAATAGTACTGCTGTGAACAATACAATATTTTTCTGTATTTTTTTTTAATTTAGCACAAGTAGAAAATAGAACATTATTTTTATTTAAGGTATCACCATTATATGCAAATAGGAGGATTCTTCTACCATGTGCTTACAGAGGTGAATTCTGTATAAACAGATCTAGTTGGATGGACGATTGAATTATGACATATAGTTTTAAGTATTATTTTTCCTCAGATGTTTCAGAATCTGTTTTTCTTTTTGCACACAGCGAATTTGCAGAGCAATTTGAAATCCAGCTGACAGGAGCCACTGGTGGAGCAGTCCTTGGGCTCCATCTACTGAGCCAGGTCACTATTGCTAAAAGTGACTCCCCCCAGGGCACCGTCCGATTTCTCAACCAAAGTCGAATTATTCTTCCCAATCCTGATACACCCACGACAGTGTCCCTGGTGCTGGAAAGGACTGGAAGATTATTAGGGGAGACACAGGTGAGCCCTGGCTATCAAAGACTGAATGCTTTCCAGTGACGAGGTCAAAAGGCTCCTGCATTTTGCTTCAAGCACTTGTGACTGATCCCTAACAGGACAATTGCAGCTTTTCATTAAACATGAATTGCATATAGGTGCAAGTATAGCAGAAAATGTTGTTACCATTTTAATCTTCTATTTCTCCTCCTGCCTTCTTTCTTTTATTATTGTCTTGCATACTTAGTTTCAAACTGGCTCCTAATTCCATTGAAAATATGGTTAATTTCATGCACCACGAGTAATGTAATTTAATTCAGTTGAATTGCTTTCTAAAGCATAAAACTTTTCTCAGTAAATTGTTTACTATGAGTTTTCTAGATTTTTTTTAACTGTGCACAGACCACTGACAAAGTGATGGTATAATTATGGCCTTTCACAGACTTGGCAAATGACTGGAAGATTGGTAGTAAAGGCCATCAACACCTCATCCTCCCATATAAAAATTGTCTTGATTTTTTTACTTTTTCTAGAAGTCATTTGAGAAAACTGGAAAACAATTAAAATGGCCAAAATAATAATTTTAAAGTGCTGAATAAGACCTCCTCAAAAGCAATCTAATTTGTGGGAAATTTTGAAACTATTTTAGCTTTTAATTAGGCTGAAGAAGTATGACTCATCATAGGAGGGATTAAAAACTTTCATTGCAGACTATTAAGAAAATATTTGCAATTTTCTGCTTGATGTCACACTTCACAGGGAATGGTTTTGGTCACGAGTCCTTATTTGGGGAGCTTCACAAAACAAATTGTGAAAAGGAGAGAAACAGAAACTGGCTTGTGTGTTTCCTGTTATGTGCTAAAGAAATCTCAGTTTCTCTTCTTTTCTGTTAGTAATATTCAGGCTTTCATAAATTGGCATTGTGGCTAACTGGCACTTCAAAATTTTCATTTGTAATTTGTCATGTTTATTTTTCCAAAAGGATTATATATTTTCCCACATAGATTTCATTATGAATATTTTGTGTTCTGTATTAACAGGAAAGATTTAAATACAGCTAGTTACCAGATACAAGAACTTTTATGACACCTGTGGTACTCTGTCATTTCTCCCCCTGGAAGACTATTACAATATATCACCACTCTAAATCTGGAACTGATATCTTCCACAGATTAATTGGGACATCATGGGACCAAATTCAGAAGAGATTTTATCTCCCGTGAACAGCGACATTGGCGACCCTGTGAGTGGATCATTTTATTTTGGAGAAGGAGAAGGAGGTCTGAGAGCTATTAGTCTACAAATCTATCCTCACGAAGAGGTTGAAGTTCAGGAGAACTTCATTATCAGACTGAGCCTTGTGAAAGGTGAAACAGAAATAGATCCTAAGGCAAACAACATTACACTAATAGTAAGTTGTTATTGCTTTTCTTTCTTCTGAGATCTTTGCTGATATTGGTATTTATCCTGCAAAGCTTTTAAAAACTAATAATTATTGCACTGCTTGTCATTTGGCTTTTTTGTCCCTTGTACTACTTAGGTGCATTGTTACAGCTTCAATTCTTAAAAAAGAAGGCAAAGAATCTGTCAGTAAAAACTGGTATACAAGCCCTGTCCTGGCCCTCTTATTTGCAGATTTCTGTGGTTCTCTTTGGAGAGAGAGTGGATTGGGCCCTCATTTCTAAATGTCCGTTTGTTGTTCATCCCTTCTTGACTTCTTCTTCTGCTCCAGCTATCGTGTAAAAGAAATGAGAGAATCTGACTATTGGAGAGCAAGAGAAATGCAGAAATTTGTGAAAGAAGGCAGAGTTGTGAAAGACAAAGTACTGCTCTAAGGATACTTGAACTAAGGAAATATTTATAATGCTATTATAAGAAGCCTGCGAAAAATTAAATCTTTCCTAGAAACTGGATTTTTTTTTTTTTCTGGTTTGTAGTGTTGATGGAATTAGCTCCTCAATTTCTCCTTCAGGGAGACAGGTTTATTCCTTGTAGTGGAATAAATTCCAGGAATATGGAATTTTCCGTATTTTCCACTATGCATGCCAATGAATTGGCTTCTCAGTAGGCACTGGTCTTATAACTCTGTTGTAAGTCAGTCAGTTCACCATGAATTCTCATTACAGCTAGTGATTCACGCAGGTGGATGTGAATGAGCTCTGTCCCAGAGGACTGAGTTTGCCAACTGATAATTTTAGAAGAGTTTCTGTATAGTAACCCAAGATGCCTGAGCATTTCCTGCTTTAATAGCAGAATATTCAGATAAAGCATTTGGAACAAATCTCTGTCCTTTTCTTCCTTGGATAGTGCTAAAAATCTGAAAAGGGAGCATTCATACTTTCTCTGCTATCTCTTCGTGTCTTGTATCCATGGGGTATGTTTTCCAAATACTTTCGAAATTACTTTACTCTCTGGAATGTGTTTAAACCATTTATAATTTACGAGAAAGCTGAGTGAAGCTCTACTGGGTAGACAGAATCATTGCCATTGCCTGAATTTGTTTATGTATAATGCTTTTATTAATCCAAGCCTGAAAAGCATCGTATTTTGAATCCTATTCAGTTTAGATCCTGCTTAAAGTTATTTAGAATCATAGAATCATAGAATCATTGAGGTTGGAAAAGATCTCTAAGATCATCACGTCCAAACGCCAACCCAACACCCCCATGCCTGCTAAACCATGTCCCGAAGTGCCACATCTACATGTTTTTTGAACCCCTCCAGGGATGGGGACTCCACCACTGCCCTGGGCAGCTTGCTCCAATGTCTGACCACTGTTTCAGTAAATAAATTTTTCCTAATATCCAATGTAAACCTCCCCTGATGCAACTTGAGGCCATTTAGGTACCACTGTAGGATTTTTCTTGGAGAAGAGCAAGTTACTTATAGATTTCATACAACAGTCTTGCTTTGTGTGCATGTGAGTTTGTGTGTGTGTGTACACATGGGCTTGGTATCACTCTTTTTTCTTACCTTGTTGGTCCTGTCTGCTGTGTCGGGTTTTTGTGTTCTCTCAGTCTCAGTTCTAGCTACTAATATGGCATTGAATCTTCCTAAGAGGAGAAAACTCGGTAGGAGGAATTAATAGGTGCCCTGTGGCATCTAGCAATGAAAATCTCAATGATTTGAACAAGAATACAACTCAGTCTGCATTTCCAATTTTTTGTTTGTTTGTTTACTTTTTTACAGATACAGAAGTTTGGTGATCCCAATGGAATTGTACAGTTTGCTCCTGAATCATTAATTGAGTATAACTGTACAGAACCCTCAGCAGCGGAAGGGCCACAAAGTATTACACTGTTTGTGAGACGAATTCAAGGCACTTTGGGAAACATAACGGTATTCTCACGATTTTCCTAATAAACGGTATAATCTGAAATCATCCTCAGCATCAGTGTATGGAGGAATACCTTTTTCTGTGCCTTTCAATTGCTTGTTTCTCAAATTCATTTTTGAAATGTTGCCTTTTAGACTGAATTTAGCAAGGGCTCAGCCCTAGTACTTGTGGTTTGGAAAGTCAAATTCAGTATCCTCTGGTCAGAAAAAAAGAAGAAAAACACTACTGCGGTGCTTCTCTAACTTTCTCTCTCCCTCTCTGCCTGTGCTTTTGACGGGAGAAAAAAAACAGAGCATACTTACACAGAGAACTTTCTTTGAGATCATCACAATTTGCTTTTTTCCAGGCATACTTAAAGGCAAGAATCAGACTGTTTTGAACTGTCACTCATGTTGTTTTTTTACGTGAAGTTGTTTAGAAGTCAGCATTTTAACAGTTATTAATTAGTAAAAGCATCTGCTGTGTTTAGTGAGGACTCTTCACCCAGTTCTGATGTGAGGAATCTTGGAAAGAGAAAAAACAGAAAGGGTGTCTTCGTGTAAAAATAGAAATAATTTTTTTGAAAATTGTTCAGAGATTCCATATAGTTCAAATAAATTTTCTGAAAATATACAAAGAAAATCTTCACATTCATAGCACTGTTAGAGGAATAACACACCTTCCTTTTGTAAGATAGTCTGTGTGCCTCTTTCTGTGCAAACCTAAACCAATTTCTATTTTACCTACTTAAAACCAATCGGCTCCATGTCCTACCCGTACTGAATCCTCGATATGAAAGTTTCTGACTCTTTGGATAATTTTGCTTTCTTTTGTTTTGTGCATTTTCTAAACTCCTTTCAGGTTTACTGGGAAATACATAGCGATTCTGACACCACAGGGGACTTTCTTAGGACAGAGGGTTCTGTTGTCATTGCTGACCAGCAGAGTACAGCCGAGATAATTATCTACCTGTTACCTGATGATGTTCCAGAACTGGATGAAAACTATATGGTGCAGCTGATTTCAGTAGAAGGTGGAGCAGATTTAGACGAAGAGAAAAGAATTTCGCAGATCAATGTTTTTGCAAATGATGATCCCTATGGAGTGTTTGCCCTGTACTCTGATCAGCAGTCAGTACTCGTAGAGAAAAACCTGGATCGCTATGTTCAGATCAATGTAACTCGGCATGCTGGGGCATTTGGAGACGTGGTTGTTGAGTACCATATCTTGTCTCATCATGACGAAGCGCTAATTGCACCTGAGAATGAGGTGGGATACCTCACAGTAAAAGATGGTGCCAGCTTTGGACTGAAAAGAGTGCCAATAAGCAGCCAGGTCTGTATTATCCTCTTAGTTCCTGTAATATCTATTGTTTCCATTTGTGCTCATCACAATACAAACGTGCTGGAATAAGATCCTAAACTCTCAGTAGTATCCACTGTGAAGAAGTCTCCACAGAGAAGAGAGTTTTAGTATTATGAATTTCCTATTAATGGAATACAAACAGATATTTAAATACCACATTTTCCGATAAAAATTGCAAAATCACTGCTATGCATGTGTTCAAATATTTTTTTTCCTTCCATCATTGCTTTGTGTTACTATCAGTTCAAAGTTTTGTTATTGTATGTATGCATATATTTTTTTAAGTTTCCCTTTTGGATTGTGAATGGTGATCTGTTAGTGCTGACTCAGGAAGCAGCAGATAAATTACCTTCAGTTGTCTGTGTTCCCTGGTTATCTGTTAGTATTACTACAGTCTTACAGCCACATTTGCATCCTTTTATATCCATCTTACGTTCTTTTAATCCTGAGAATTAAAATTAAGCTGAGGCCTACTGTCTTAGATACAATTTAATAAAATTACCATAGTTGCTCTACAAGCTCACATTTCAACAGACTGCTGGTAAATCACATTCACAATATTGACATTTTAGCTGCATATCTATTGAGAAAAGTAATCAACAGAACACTTCTCTTGAAAACACTGATTTTTGTATGCAAGTCGAACAAAATCTGAAGATTGTTTGGCTGCTTAATTTTTTGAACTGGTGGATATCATGTTTTTAGTGGAATTAAATTTCAGCCTTTTAATTTAAATTCTCTCTCTCTCAAAGGCATTTCTTTTACTGGGCTTGAATTTTACTCTGGAACTGATTAGTGTAAGCCTGGCTGGGGGAAGTGCCAATGATGTGCCTAAAATATTAGGAAAAGCAAAGTCAGCTGTTCTGCTTATTCCTGAGGAAGCTGCCAATTCACAGGTCAGTAGAGGGGCTGCAGTGTAACATTTCTACCACAGAAGGAAGGTACACTTAATTACAAAAGATAGGTGCTGTAAGAATTCAGCTGAATTAAGTTTTCATCACTGCAAGCAAAGTAATAACTGAGAAGACTTTTCCAGTTATTACTTGTACTGTATATTATTAACTTTTCTCTGATACAAATTCTTATAGAAATGTGTTAATACAGTTTGAAAGTGTCTCTTCGTCTATAAAATGTAAATAGTGTAAATATTACAATTAATTAATACTTTTCTTTACATGAAATGGAAATTATAAGAATTAAAGGAAAATAACGAATTCTGGATAATGTTATTCCTTGAAATATGGCAGCCCTAAAGTAGGTAATAGCATGTATGCAGTAGTATGTGCAAAAAGAAATGGAGGTCATGCTGGTTTTTAATGCAATTGACAGTATATTTGTCTCGTCACTGAGTGGGCAATTTTCCATTTGTATAGATGAGAGTGAGAAAAAAGAATTTGCCTCTTCTGATATACGTGCTAGAGTTCACTTTTTTGTATGTCAGGCAAAGACAATAGCATGCTTAGTTTTTAATCTGTTAAATTTTATTGACATTTTTATTGAGTGATTTTAATTGTCCAGAAGCACTGTTCTGTCTTGTAAGTTGTACCTGAACTTAGGTCAAATGTTCTTTCTGTAAACGTTGTTTACTGTCATCTATCCATTTATCATTGCTTTTAGAATGTGCGAATGATCCTTTCAGTCCCATTTGCTGCTCAAAGAAAATTAAAGATCATACTAGCAAGAACAACTTTGTGAACAATGTCATGTGGCAACATCTTACTTGTTACTGGTTATACAATTAATAATTTCTTTTAGACCTATGTGTAAATATATAGTACTATAGCTATTGCCTGTGAGCATTAAGGGCAGGTTGGTTTGTTTTTCTTTTAAACAACAGACACAGAATCTTATATTCAGCATTTTCAATGCATATGTACATATATATATATACACATATGCATACATATATATAAATGCATAATTATTGTAAAATGTCTATTTTACAAAATGTAATACACTTTCACATGTGTTATTGCCCATTTTTATTCCATTTTCTATAACAAAATCTATTATGTCTCCACAGGTTGGCTTTGAATCTGTGATTTTGCGACTTACAGACATTGTAGCAGGGACAGGCCAGGCTGTCATAATCAGAAAAGGAGTTTATGGCTCTGTAATCGTTAGCTGGGTTTCAGGATACCCACCAGACCTAATGACTGACTTTGCTCAGCCAGGCAATATTACTCCTCCATTTGGTAAGTGCTTGTCTGAAGAAAAAAGCTTGGAAAGTTGCGTAAGTGATGATATGACATTTTAGTTATTTGTGCCTCTGCATGCTTCCTCTGTTAATGAAGTCAATGGAATGGAATCATATGGTCTAATTTTTGTCTGTAAGGGATATGTTTATTTTATGAGAAAAACAATAATAGACTAATCTTCCTAGATATCTGTGTGGGAGGTAAGCACAATGCTGTGCCCCTGAAGGACAGCTTTATATAGTAAAGACCTTATCATGCAGATTTCTTTTCCCTAAATGGAGTGGGGTTGTGATTACAGTCCCTATCTCATCACGTTCCCAGGTAAGAAGAGGATTCCTATTTCGTAATTTTGATTTGTGCTGTCTCTCGCTCTCCCTTTTCCTGCAGGTACTGTTGCATTTTCCTCTGGTGAGCAAAGTAAAGTAATTTCATTTCAGGCTACTCCAAGCCGAAATCAACGTGAGTCATTTGCCATCACTTTAACAGCAGCGCACAGCAATGTACCTGGTGGGGCTCGCCTGAGGTAAGGATATTACTTCTGAGTCACACAGATGCTGTAAGAATTATGACCTGTGTGCAGGCAAACACCTTGTACAAATCACTGTTAAATTATATGTAGCTAGCAAGTTGTAGTGCCTTCTTTGATAAATTTGCCTGTCTTGTCTCAGGTGGAAACTAGTGTCAGTATTGCAGATCTGACCTGATCAGAACAGATGCTTTTCTCCAGTTCCAGTCTATTTCACCTCACTGGTATCAAAGTGCCTAGAATGTGTCTGGGATGATGGAGGCAGTTAAGAGAATGAAGAACTGAGATCAACAGTTCTAGCCGGGAAGCTGAAGAAAGAAAGCAACACTAACAGTTTTCATTAGTATCCCTAAAAATTCAGATTTAGAAGATCTTAGATAACAAACATTATTTAAAAGAAATAAAATGAAACAAGAAATTATACCTAATAAATATAAAAAACACTTTTTATTCATAGAAAACCCCACATTACATTTAATGTAGCTTTCCATGTCAGCTAAGTTGTTATCTATTCTTCAAACTATTTTCATTCTTCCTTACTCATTGATAGCTAAACGTTGTATAAAAAGAATGGACATAGAGTAACACTGCGTATGGAGGAAGGTATTGGCTTCACCCTACTGCAGTTACACTGGCAGATCTGAAGGAATTCAGGCATGAGCTGGATGGCTAAACTCCCAAGACTGACCCCTTCTCCTAGGCTTGTCCATCCCGTGGACTGGTGTCCTCGGAGCACCTTCTTACTGTGTGAGTCAAATACCTTGAGTGTACGAGAACGACCTTTCCTAGAAAACTTAAGACTGCATCCCGCAGGAGGTAAAGCTGACAATTATATTGCTCTGAAGAGTGTTTGGCTCCCGTAGTGGTGGAAAGGGTCTAGTTTGTTAATCAAAATCACTCGCTGGAGTTGTAGTGCCATTTGGTAGCCTCTCACGCTGTATAATGGATCAGTTCTAGAGATAAGACCCAAGGTTTGGCAAAGAGTCTCAGTCTCTATGCTTATTTTCTAATAAGAAGGGGATATGTTTAACATGAACAAAATAGAGCTTAAATTGATATTGATAATCGGGCTCAGATCTAGAAAAAATTACGGTGAATAGTGTTGTGAGGAGGCAGGTAATATTTCAAAGCCCCACTGTAAGTTTTAAAATGACTTCTCTTCCTTCTCTTGCTTTCTGGCTAAAATTGTAGATCTGCTAGCATCTGTCTACCCCACAGTTTTCCCTTGGTACTGGAAGTTATTTCTGCCATTGAAACTGGTGTTACTGGAGGTGACTACATTGTAATATATCTCCCTGCATTGTGTCCACAACTGAAGGACATCATGCTTTTCTTTGCCTCTCCATTTTCTCTGGAAGACCTCATTTTATTTAACCTTTACTCTGTATCCTGTGCTGACTCAGGGTGCATTAAGCCTGTGGAGGGCTGTTCGATCCAGTCGTTGCAAAAACATTTTTCTTAATCTCTTGCTTTGTATGGTCACTATTTTTTCTCTCTGCTGTTACACATTTTTTCAATCTACTTTCTTAAAGCCGTTCACTGGAAATTATGCTGCTTGGGTGTTTTAGTTTTCATAGTTTGTATTTCATACTTCATACCTGTCTCAACTTTGATATCTTTTCTGTTTCAGATCAGAGTTTACAATAGCTGAAATTGAGCCAATGGGGATCTTTCAGTTTACTTCTAACTCGAGATCTGTTACAGTTGAAGAAGATGTTCAGGTAGTGATACTACATGTCCAAAGATTGTTTGGTTTTCAAAGTAATCTCACTAAATTGACATATCAGACGATTCCAGGAAGTGCCAAACCCTTAGAGGACTTTATACCCATCTACAACGGAGAGCTTATGTTTTTACCTTTTCAGACAGATGCTGTGATAGAAATATCAGTAATTGATGACAATGTGTCTGAAATGGAGGAATTTTTTTTGGTAAATTTGACTGCTGTGGAAATTTTGGATGTTCAGCCTGTGAATCCTGCCTGGAGTCCACGTCTGAATCCAGCTTTCAGTGTTGCAACAGTTAATATTTTGGCTAATGATATTCTTCACGGAATACTAAGTTTGGGGCCAGAGTTTATTTACGTGGAAGAAGATGCCAACAACAGTACCCCTAACACAGTGATGCTTCATATCAGACGGACCAAAGGTTTTACAGGTGATATTGAAGTAACCGTTAAAACCTTTGGAGGATTGAGTGCACAGAGCGGAGTAGATTCATATCCTTTTGGAAATGTTTATGGAAAATCAAACTTCACATGGGCAGCGGAAGGAGAAGATTTTGAGGAACAGTCAGTCTCTCTGACTTTGCTGGACGGAGAAAGAGAAAGCAAGCTGTCCATAAGAATTTTTGATGATGATGAGCCCGAAGGACAGGAAGTGTTTTATGTTTTCCTCTCAAATCCTGAACATGGAGCTCAGATTGTGGAAGGAAAGGATGAATACGGATTTGCTGCTTTTGCAACAGTAATTATTGCAGGTAATATTTTTTTCCCTCAGAAAATTAGTAAATACATCTGGGTTAAATAACAGTAAATAACTGTATGTTCTCATAGGAATTTTCATGGAAAGATTCAAGTTCTATTTGACAGTAGGGTACTCTGTTCCCAAATCTTGAGTTTTCCAGAGCAAAGGAAGCATCTGATGCACTAAGCCTACCATGTGTCCCTTAGCAACACAGCTGAAAATACATTTATAGATGCTGCTTATCTTTGTTCTCGTCCTGTTTTACTTCATGAAGGGAAAAAGCCAAGATGGAGTGTTTTTAATGCAGATGTAGTAGCATTGCAGACTTTTTTGTCCTTCTTTGCCATGTTGTCACTTTTGCATTGTATGCGATTTGAACAAAGTATAAAAAACAGTTTCTGTTTTCGTTCTTTGATGCCATGCAGTTCATACATCATGTGTAGTCATCTCTGCTTCAGGGTTGGAGGATAGGAATGGGCTTACACAGACATCAGGAAGAATTTTTCTTTCAATCACTGCATGCTACTGTGAGGAAGTGATGTCAGAGCTCCAGTTTCCCTTAGCTTTTAGATATCTACCAGTGAAATATAAACCAAGTTTAACTGCAGTATAGGTGAAGTTTTAGAAACAAGTTGGGAACTGGAACAGTTTAGGCTAAGCAAGAAAATTGTGTGCAAGGTCTGACATTTACTGCAAGTTTTGTGTGTTTAGATAGTCTTAACAAAATGAGGTAGGTACTGCAAACCAGGATTAACCTGTGCTGTTGGATGAGTGTATGCAGCAGACAAAATGACACATTCCCTTCATTTGCATAGTCTCTAATATTCACCCGTAATGTGCACATTAACCAAAGAAGGATGTGCATAGGCACAGATTGGAATTTGAGTTTCTATTGAATGCCACAGAAGCGTATTAACACGCCCTAGAATTACACTCTGAGTACAAGGAGTAAGTAAAGTAAGGTCAGGAAACAGCTTACGTTAAGGAGAAGGGTCAAAACACGTGTCTGCATTTTACTGTATAGATAGAGAGTTACCACAGGTTAAATATTTGTGCACAGACATGAGCAAACGCACAGTGTCTGTTGATCTCCAGTGTACGTACTGGCACTTCCTATGCACTGTGTCGGAACCAGGTCGCCTTCCCAACTGCAGAGTAAAGCCATCACTGCCTGTAAAGAGGAAATCCTTTGGAAGCAAGATTTAATGGGATGCTGTGAAAACATTAGTCTCCCCTCATTAACCCTTTTTTTCCTCCACTGCTGAAGTTATTTACATTGCCATAAGAACAAAGCAGTATTTTGCAGCTCCCTAGTTCCACAGACTGAATTAAGGATTCAGGAGAAAAGCTGATGACAATTTGGGAAAATTGTGTGTGTTCAACAACATTACGGATGGAATGACTAAGAAAGCTAAAGTCATGCCCTTGGAAACTCATCTTATCCCATAACCTGCTATGGCAATGCTGTCCATCTAGGGCATGCTGAGGCCCATTTCTGTACAGAAAGCATGTGTTTTAAGGGTCATGGTAGAATGGTATAGTTGAAGTGATATCTCAGAAGGGCATTGTAAGTCAGGCTTTTGTCACCATTCTGGACTACTGTATCACCTAGTCTCTTGAAGTCAAGGGACAAAGAACTCATGCAGTTTGCTGAAGGCTGCTGAAAATACAAGCTTATGTGCATAGATGTTGCCAGGACTCTCAAGAGGAATTTACTTTCAACAAATACTTGTTTTACTGGTTAAAATAAAATTTAGGAATGCTGATATTTGAAGTTCTAGATAAGTATGGAGTGTAAATTAAGAAATATTAAAAGAAATTTTCTTGACAAGTCCCCAAGTGGTACTTTGCAGCGTGCTTTTGGTAAGTAGTTTGTATTTTTTTAGCAGTTACCCGTATTAAAATTTTAATTTAGTCTTATCTTAACTTTCTTGCTAATTACTTTCATGGACTGTTTCATTAGGAAATGATCTCCAGAACGGCATTTTGGGGTTCATTCCAGAAGTACAAAGCGGTCTTGTACTTGATGAAGACTCAGAAGACAGAGAGGTGCTGCTGATGGTCGCAAGGCAACCAAACAGGTGCAGGCAAAGGCTGATTCAAGTGCCCTTCCCACACGCTGCAAAATTCTGTGTTGAATCTCAGAAGCTGCTGTTAGTGGGAGAGGTTACCATAGAGTTTTATAGTAAATCTTTGCCTTTCATCTCCTTTAATAACTTCCCAGAATATGGCAAACAGGCTTTTAAGTTGTGAAAGTGATTAGGTCTGACACTGTTGCAAAGCAGAAATGGGAAAAAAAATATTTTCCAACTTATAAGGCAGCAAGTGTGAAAGTTTTGCGTAAGGTAAAGTATTTACATCGCTAAAGGTCTAATTCATATTCTCATCTCCCTGTGTAATTTAAGTAGGCGTGAACTGAGCAATTAAGATATCAATTAACTAAACTGAGCAATTAAGAAGATACCTAAGTGTCAGCACTATGCTTATGTCCTCGCTCATGCAGATACATTTTTTTTTCTAATTAGCAAATATATACATCACACATTTACGCGTACTTTAAACAAATATGCTCAAGCACTCAAAGTTCCATAAACTTATAGGAAATCCAAATTCTGCCTGGCTTCCCAGGGAAATGGTTACTATGGTATTACAGAAAGTGCTTCCTCACATCCCTGTCTTCCAAGCACCAGTGTCTCTTATTCAGTTAATCTCATATTTTCTGAAACAAAAATTGAGTAGAATCTGAGTGCCCATAATTGCTTCATTTTCTTCTTGTGTTACTTTTTGGTAATCTGAACAGGTTTTAGAGGAAAGAATTTAAATAAAAAGAGAGAATTTTTCATCTTAACTCAGTTTGTTCCCTAGTGATAAACTCTGAACACTGACAAAAAATGTAGGTTACATCTGTGGTTTATGTTTCCTAAAGCAATAGCTCTTTCCTTCAGTACGTGTACTCTGTTGGTTTGGTTACAGGGCTTTTGAAGATGTGAAGATCTTTTGGCGTGCGACCTTTAATAAAACGTCTGTTGTCCTTCTGAAGGATGGTGTGAACTTGGAGAAAGAACTTGTCTCTGTGCTGGGAGCCACTACCTGCATGGCAGGTCAAACAATATGCAACATCTCCATTGAAATAAAACCTGATAATGTAAGTAATTACTGCTCATTTGTGCACTGTAATGTTGAATTGCAGTTTACAAAGATGAAAAAACCCCTCTGACCCAGAAGAACTGGTGTGTAGGAAACAGTTTGAAGACGTGACATCTCCTCAGTTCCTCTGCAAACTGGTGTTTATTTGCAGGCTTGTACTACTTCCATTGTAACTGGTAAAAGTTCAGGAAGGAGATGAGTATTTAGTTTGAAGAGTAAATTGCAGATCTCAGATATTTATAGAGCAAGAAGAAAAAAGAATGGAGTGATTTTAGTGAGATGCAAATTCATGTACTGGACTCTTATCCTTCACACAGTTGATTTTTCATCTATCAAAGCACTTCTTAGGATGGTTTATAGAAGGTATATTCATTAAGTAATAATATCTCATTCAGAAAGAAAACTTTTTATTGCCACTTGTGCAGAATTTTACATGCCTAAATCTAGCACAATGATCTATGAAAACTCTACTCAATCCTTAAGCTGCATAAGCATCTCTGAGTGTCTAAAAATCTGTCGCTGTGCACATCCAGCTTGTGAGTAGCAGAGTTCAGTTTAGCAGCCATCATCCACTAAAGCCTTTTGGCATTTGTCAGTTGGGTATGCCTAAGCCTAAGTGCCTTGAGAGGCCAAGCTGGCACTCAAAAATGCAGACGTCATTGAATTAACACAAAGCATAGCATTCAGTCAATTTTATTGGAAAGAGAAGGAAAAAAATATTTTTGTGTGAACACCTAGTGGTTAGAGCAGTCCCTTAAGAAAGGAATGATTAATGTTCTGTCATTCTTCCAGAATGGAGAGGTTGAAACTTTCCAAGAAATTATCCTAACAGCCAGGCTGGTGGCAAAGCTGAGGTCTGTAGAATGGAAGAAGGCAAGACGAGAAGGTTTCCACGTTTTTTCTGACGGCATTCTAGAAAATTATGCAAGGTGTAGGATGTGGGAAAGAATGATTCCCATCAGGCAATAGGGTGCATTCGCTTAGTTCAGTAAGAGGGCCATTTTCCTTCTTCATCTTCAGATGTTATTTCTGAATTATAGAGCCAATGGATAAAATACATCCGACTAGGGCACAGGCTGCCTCACTGAGTAAACTGGGATTTCGAACCTGTTTAGTCCAAAGGAGTGACACCGTTATTTAATGACAGAGGTGCAGCAGCTGCAGAGACACGCCGTTGTGCCACGTGAAGCACAAGCATGTGCCACTCTGACAGGTGCTAATGGAAGTCTGAAATTCCCTGTGGCATTCCAGTAAATTTGTGCCTGTCATCAGTTCATCAAGATCATTCCATTTAAAGAGTTACTTTACAACAACTCAGTTAAAAATCTATGCTATTTATCCCCCCAAATATTTCCTATTTCTTGTTCCAGTTCGTCTTCCGTAAAATAGCCTATAAATTAGTAACAAATACATTAGGAAATAACGAATGAATACATTCAATAATTATTTTACATTTTTTATGGCATATGGTATGATGTATTCTAGCTTTTGAAAGTTTTTACTTAGACTGTTGTAGTGGCTTCATTAGCCAAGAGCTGAATCCTGCTTTCCTAGAATTAAAGTAGGATTTTCAAAAATCCAGAGCTGAAACAAAAAGCTATGGTTAATAATAAAAAATTGTCCTCGGCGATCATCTTTTTTGTTGAAATGCTGTTGTCTTGTAAAGAGCCACTTAGTTTACTCGTTTGCTGCTTCATGAGTGCATGTTATAGGTTCAAATGATGTATTTCCCAATCATTTCTGGGATCTCAGTAATCAGATTTCTATTTCTAAATGTGTTATGTTTCCATGGTAGGTAAAAAATCAGAGATAGGCCAATGTGTCATACTGAATTTTAATATTGCTACCTTATTTTCAGTAAACAGACATTAAGTTTATACAGTTAATTGGACTAATTCTTTGACATGTGAATGCTAAAATTCAATAGCCTGTATTTTCACACTGGCTCAAGATTTCTGTATATGTAAACCTCACAAAAGTCTACCAGATATGTATCTCCAGGCTGTGGGATTTTGGGTAAATTCAGTTAAGCATTCAAATCTTCAGAGGTTTGCTTGTAAAAATATGGATAAGCTTGTTGATGTATAAACACTAAGGCTGTATGTAAAATGTTTGTCAAAACTTTACCACAGTTCAATACTTGAATACAGTCACTATTAATTGTAGGGTGAAAACTACATGCTTAGACTTCTGTGCAGTTTTTCCACAGGTGAGTAGGTGTGTACATGCCTTTTTGTAAGGCAAAAATAAAGTGAAAGAGCAAATTCCTCAAAAAATATACATCTGTATAACTCCAGAATCTGGTAAATGGAGCTCTTTAAGAGTTTACCATCGAGTCTTAGTAGCCATTATAATGATATGAAAATCATCCTTCATTTACAGGTACCTGAATTTGAAACAAATTTTTTTGTTGAGCTGTATGCTGTAAGCACAGGAGCTGCATTGAACAGCAGTGCCAGATTTGCTTTAATAACAGTCCTTGAAAGTGATGCTCCTCATGGTTTAGTGTATTTTGCTGTGGGATCTCGTTTTGCTGTGGCTCATAAGAGGACAACTTTAATCAGTTTGCAGGTGCTTAGAGATTCTAGTACATCGGTAACCACAACGGTTAGCTACAGCATGCAGGTAAGATCTCTGTTATTATTCTTGTTATTAAATTATTGTTTGTTCTCTAAAGTAAATGTGGCTGTAATTAGCATTTTTTCAGGACACAATTAAATATTGCTGGGCCCACGTGGTCTAACTTCTCTGGTTTTCCATTAGTAAAAAGAGCTTGTTTTCATTGCCTTGCCAAGGGTGATTTTGTTCATAGTACCTTCCAGTGGCTTCAAAAACTCCAGTCAGTCAGGCATTAAATAAATTTATTTCTTTGTCCTAAGGTTCGTATAACACTCCAAGTTTTGAGGCTTCTTTCTCTGGAATTAAGTTTTTATTATGATGGATATGGCTGTGAAGATTCAGATACCAACATGCTTGCTTGTTTTAGCTCACAAATTTATTAATACGTGGAGCACACTTAGGAAAAGAGAAAGAGTACTTTCATCAAATTTTATTCCATGTTCTTGAAGTACTAAACTTGAAAATTGTTCTGATTGAAAATCTCCTGTGATTAGTGAATTTTACTGTCCTCATTACTTTTTGTTGTTTACACCTGTAACACCAGACTCTTCTGACTATTGACCCTTTTATCATTAAATGGATGCCTCATTATTATTGACAGATGATGAAGATTCTCCTTTAGCAGAAGTAACACAGCTGCAAAAGCATAATTCCTTCCACTTCCTTATAGCTGTGACTCCCACATCGGGGCATACGGCGCAGGAGGGATTCCTCTAAGTTTGCCATTGTATTGGAATAGTGCTTAGCCTGATATGCTTTGATGTTTCAGAGAAGGGTTATTATAACAAACCATTGTGTCACCAGTGTACTTCCATCACCCTTTATAATAAAAGGTTTTGCATTCTATTGTTATATTTCATGCATATCTGTTTTAACTGCATAGAATTACATGGTGTTTCCATCCATTTATTATACAGCAGCTGGCCGTGGTTTTAGTTAGATTGTGTGGTAACAAATTTTCATTCTTTCCAGCCAAGACTTCGTTATAACTTAGCTATTAATTTAAGAATAAAGTGCTACTGTCCAGTGTATATTGAGGCTAGAGTATAGGGGGCAAGTCCTTACCAATTTGTATTTTTTATAAAATAACCCTTCTTTGGACATTTTTAGGTTTTGAGGGTGCGTGCCCAGGTACCCAAGTGTCGGTACTGATGGTGCCTGTAAAATAAGAGGTCACGGCAGACCAGAAGCATGAGGTGCTAACTGGAAACAGATATTTTTCTCATTCCTACAAAGGTTTCTTAAACATTGTTCTTGTCACTGGTGCTTTTATTACCAGTTATTTCCCTGTTTCCTAATTCTCAATGGGAAGGGATAAACAAAAGGAAACTTCTCACTGGAATTTGCGCAGATGACGTGTTCATGTTTGGAGCAATTTTGAACAGATACACACTGCATTTACTAAGTTTACCAAGTTCTCCTGTAAACTCAATAAATGTCTGATTTATTCCATAAGTAAACTCTACTAATTAAAGCTCAATGTTTTCAAAAACGGTCCAGTACTATATAAGTAAAAATCCTTGTTTTTTACAGTAGGAGACCTTTGCTTAAGAGTCAGTATACAGTCCGTACTTGTTAAATGAATAGATACTACTGAAAAATCATACATTTGAATAATAGCCCAGAATGTTAGTTTCCACTTAAGGAAAGTTTATTATATTACCAGATATAATATCAAGGTTATGGCAACTGACAAAAAGAGCAAGAATTTGAAGAATGAAACTGTATCTGCAAACCTCATGGAAGGTAAAAACAGTGCTGCTTCGCAGGGAAATGAGGCCATGTAGCATTCCTAGATAAGTTCATCTGTCTGCCTTGCATGTGAATTCTATAGTGTTTGATTTGCCTTTGGACCTAAATGGATTGTTCTTTTAAGTATTTATGCTGGGACTGAAAGTACTGTGAGTTGACATTAGTTTGGGCACAGATTTCTAAAACCTTTGCTTGGCTTTTGTTTAGTCTTTGCATATCTGTAATTCCTGTCTGTATGCTGAATTGAGGGACATCGTGCTGCAGACATTAACTGACATTAACTCCTCCGGAATTTGCCCTGTGGACGTGCTAACATTTCTGTAATATCTATTCACCCAGAAAAGCTTTGTGATTTTTTTTCTGAAAAGAAAGAGAGGGATCCTGTTTAGAGTTGACAATATCTATAATTCTTCCCCTGGGTTGTCACTAGCCACAAGTGACAGATTGCTGTTTCAGGGAGACATTTCATTTAATGTAATTGTTACATCATTCTTAACTGCATTTTGAAAGGGGGTGTCTCTTTTTACACATTTAAATTTTACCTATTTAAAATATGTGTGTTCTACAACAGC